CACAGGCCCAGGGTCAGACAGCTGGGTTTACATAGCCATTTAATGCTGAATACTCATCACTGACTCTCCGCTTCGTCATCTGAAAGTGAGGGCTGAGAAGAAAGACCTGCTTCATGAAGCTGCTCAAAGTATATGCCTTGGCAGAGCTGGGCATGGAGTCATTGTGCCTGTGGTCTTTTATTCAGGAGGCTGAGGCAGGAGAACCACTAGAGCCCAGGAACTCCAAGTTAGCCTGGACAACACAGAATGTGACCCTTGGCAGATGGTCTGCTCCATGAACTCTGAACTCATGGGCTGATCATCCTTCTCTGCCCTTGCATCCACCCACCTGGATCCTCTGTATTCACTAGTGGGCTCCCAGCAGCCTCTGGGCATCAGGTCTGGGTCACAGCCCAGCCGCTCCTGTGCCTCACTTGCCCTGTGTATCTACAGGCCTGCCATGGCCCACTGCGATGCTGGAGGAGTTGCTCGCCGTCATGAAGCAACACGAGAGGATGTTGGACATTGTGCTCAGTACCTGCTCCCTGCTGCTGCGTGTTCTCGGCCAAGGTAGGCTCCAGAATGGGCAGAGAAGCCCTACCCTGAGTCCTCTGCCTCACCAGCTCCTCCAACTTCCCACCCATCCCTGGAATCTGTCTTTCCAATCTACTGTCCCCTTCTGTGCCTATGTGACTCCATCACAGAGTGATAGAGGGCATAATTAATGTCTGCCTACACCAGGTCTACATGGGGCTTGACCCAGCCAGCTGGAACCCTTGATAAGCTTGCCTCGCTCAGCTATTCACCAGCTACGTTATAAGAGCTGGACAGGATGGTCTAGGGGGCTTTCCTGCACAGGAGAGGCTTGGAGGGTGTGGCTGCCAGGAAGGGACAGCACTGCACTCAAGTCCTCAGTAGAAAGAAGCCTCTGCCGCTGAGCTCCCCCAGCTCTCAGGACAGGAAGAAAACTAGCTACATTTTTAAGCCTGAAGCATCTAGTTACCCCTTACTCTTCTAGTCTTAATACTGAGGGCTTAACCACCACACAGACTGTATCTTTTCTCAGGGGTGGGGAGTAATCAAATCCAGGCTTTCTTGCATACTAGATAAGCACTCTACCACTGGGCAAGAGCCCATAAATTTATACTAAATGTTCATGCCCCATCATTGGCAAGGACCAGCAAGATCTTGGAGGTCAGAACTGGAAACCCCCCATATTTACAAAGACTTGCCCGGTACCTAGAGAATAGGCAGATCTGTTTCTTTTAATCTGTAGAGGGATGCTGTCCCTGCTAGGGAGGGAGGAAACTCGTCTACCTCAGAGCCCCAACTGTAGGTTTAACCCATGTTCTTCCTCTGGTCCAATCAGCACTGGCACAAGACTCAGAAGCTGAGATCCCAAGGGGCAGTTCTATCATCTCCTTCCTGATGAATGCCTTGAGGAGCCACTCTGACTCTGAGAGGCTCATCACCATGGTCTACAACCTGTTCACCATCATCTCCAGCCAAGGTGAGTGTGCCCTTCCTTTCTGTTCTAAATATCCAGGGACAGAACAGAGGCCTTGGCAGGAGAGGGACTCATTCCTAAGATGGATAGACATACTATTCTTTGCTCTCAATGGCAGACATGGGCACTGCTTGGAAGCTGAGGGCAGTGGCCAAGAATCAGATGGCTGGCCAGTAAGGCTAGGCACTGGGTGATTCCAGGTCTTTGACCTCTCACGCACACTAAGCCCACTTGGGTGAGAGAGGTATTAAAGGCAGGCATAAAGTAGACCCGACAGACAGACTAGGTATTGTATCTGCCCACTGGGAAAAGGCAGTGCTGGGGAAGGCTTCTTGGATACCTTTCTTTCAAATGCTTGTGGCTGTCCACAGGGTTGCTCTCTGAAGAGCTGGAGGAACAGGGGTTGTTTCAGCTTGCCCACGAGCACCTAGACCACTTCCAGGAGGACAGGGACATCTGCCTCGCCATCCTGAGCCTGCTCTGGTCCCTCCTGATAGATGGTGAGGCCCTCCCTCCACAAGACCCACTGCATGAGACCCACTAAAGCAGTGGCTCTCAACCTGTGAATGGCAACCCCTTGGGGGTCGAATAACCCTTTCACAGAGGTCACCTAAGACCACCAGAAAACAGATACTACATTATGATTTGTAACAGTAGCAAAATTAGTTGTGATATAGCAACACAATTTTATGGTTGTGAATAACTACAACACAAGGAACTGTATCAAAAGGTCACAACATTAGGAAGGTTGAGAACCACTGTGCCAGAGCCTCTGTATCGCAGTTCTGTTGCAACCTCCAAGTTAAGAACTGCTGCTCTATCCCTTAAGCATAGGAGGGCAAGCCCAGCCCCTGTGGAGCTCTCCTAAGAGCCCAGCACATGGGCACAGTGAGACAGACCCAAGAGAGGTAAAAAAGGAAGGCCTTCAGGATGCTGAGTAGGCAGCCCCTGGCTTTAGAGGCCAGCCAGAACTTGATGCTCTATCTTGGTTTTTGGTTTAGGATGGGTTTCCGAGGCCTGTCCTCCCCCTCTTCTAGATACTGTCTTGCCCTAGGAAAGAGGGTCCAAGACAGGGCAACCCCAGAGAACTGCAGAGACCCTGCTGACACAAGTGCACAAAGTCCTCGTCTCCCCTGATGACTACTGCAGACTCTGGCATTGGAGAGCCCCAGTTCCCATCTCTGAGAACATCTGTTCCCTTGGTTCTCCTGTTGTTCTTGGTGGAAGGGGAGCAGTATGAAGGGGAACATATACAGCAGGTTACTTCTGTTCACACCTGGCCTGGGGTCTCCCATCTTTGTCCTGGTTCTAGCTGCCAATGTGGACAAAGAGCCTTTGAAGAAGCTCTCAGCCATGGTCATTTGGGTGCTAGCCATGTACCCTGAAGACGTGGAAATAGCTGAAGCTGGCTGTGCTGTGCTCTGGCTGCTGTCCTTGTTGGGTGAGCAGCCTGAGGTCTTGGTAAAGGGGAGGGTGACCCTGGACACATAAGGCAACAAGGCTTGTGTTCTGCAGGCTGCATAAAGGAGAGTCAGTTTGAGAAGGTGGTAGAGCTGTTTCTGAGAAGCATCCAGCTATGCCCTGGCAGAGTATTGCTGGTGAACAATGCTTGCCGTGGCCTGGCCAGCCTTGCAAAGGTGTCCGGTAAGTCTGGGACAAGACAGGCTGCCAACATGGAGGTGGAACAAAAGCTAGCTACTTCCAGTGATGTCTACCAGGTGACCATAAACTAGAACAGGAAAAACCAGCCTTCAGGAAACACCACTGGGAAGTCTCTGTTGGTGTTTTGGGACCACCTCCCGCCTATACACACATCTCACAGCTGCATAGATTTCCTACATATAGGTCTGTCTCCAAGTCCAGGCTTATGCCAGGTCTCACACTAAGCATTGGCACAATTGTCCTTTGTAGAGAACCCTGGGCCCAGGAATAAACCATGGTCACCAGCAGTGAATGGTAGGGATGCTCCCACCCTGGGCCTATTACGGTCTATCTTCTTTGCTCCAAGAGCTGCCTCCTTGTTTTCACTCCTGGGTTCTACTCATGCCATTCTACGGCTACCCAAGCTGGTGGGTCCTCCTGGAAGTAGTTGGGAATCTTAGCTCCCCCTGACTTATCCCTGACACTTTGTATAAAGCACCCTGTGGGGAGGGTTCAGTACCCTTGAACCCTGTTAATTGCTGCAGGGCAGCAGGGTCACCTACACAGGAGACCCCTCTCCACAGTGACATACCACAGCCTCAATTTCTCTGAAGGGAAGAGGAACCCAAGTGCTGTATTTCTCTTGGGCATGAGGCTTACTGCCAGCAGGTGCAAAGCTATGCTGTGGAGAGGTAAAATGGTACAATCACCTCTTCTAACATTTTACACAGAGCAGGGGTCAGCCCTGACTTCAGGAGCTTCCTTCATAGAAGACTGGGTAGGATTCATGGCCAAAGAGAGCTCTCCCAGCCACCCTACGGCCATAGTGCTACTTCCCAGGGACACTGGGCACAGGGGGCTGAGAAGGGCAGCTGCAAAGGGGGCTATTCTAGATTATGCTAAAAAACCAAACTCCCTTGCCCCCCTCTCCCAGAACTGGTGGCCTTCCGAGTGGCAGTACTGGAAGAGGGCAACAGTGGCCTTTACCTCCTCCAAGACATCTACCAGCTCTACAAGGATGACCCTGAGGTGGTTGAAAACCTCTGCATGCTGTTGGCCCACCTGGCTTCCTACAGTGAGGATCCTTTCCTTGTCCTCTCCCTGGCAGGAAGGGAAGGAGCCCCAGAGCCTGTTCTCAAACCCCCGTGACTTCCCATTCACTCACTCCAAGCAAAAGTGGCACCTGAGGACCTTATCTGGCTGGTGGGCGGGGATTCTGAGCCTCACACCTTCTCTGCTCCACTGCAGAGGAGATCCTGCCAGAGCTGGAGTCTGGAGGCATCAAGGACCTAGTCCGTGTGATCCGGGGGCGCTTTACTTCTAGCCTGGTAAGTCATGGCGACACCTCTATCTATCAAGCCAGAACACTTGAGTGGACTGACACAGAGCTCCATGTGGTGCTTTTCTACTACTCTCTTCCTGTGGCCGGGCTGAATCCAATCCCAAGGTGGAAGGGCGGTTAGACTATCCAGTTGGTGTTACATCATCAAAGTAATCGCTTCTGGACCCTGAAGCCACTGTAACAAATGGTTCCTCCTTCCAGGAGCTGATTTCTTATGCTGACACGGTACTTCAGGCACTGGAGGCAGCTGCACACCCCAAGCCCCAGGAGAAGCAGCTCAAACCTGCTTCAGAGCCGGAAGCCCCCAAGGATTCCTCCCCACATCAGGAAGATCCTTTCTTCCAGCCCTGAGATGCTGCCCTTCTGGTCCTGGAAAATATCACCAGGACCAGTGTTGTGTTTTGCACTCCACAGTGACTAATAAAGAAGCCCTAAGTTGTTCATGGCGTGCCTGGCCATGGCGTCAGTGGTCCTGCACTGCAGAGTTTCGGGAAATTCTAGATGATGGGAAGACGCTAAACTTCCACAAACTCCATTTATCCATCCATTTATTTTTGACAGTGCTGGGAATGGGACCCAGGGTCTTACACATAGTGGACGAGTGCTGAGTCACACCCAGCTCCATAAGAGTTGTCCATGAAGTTAACTGGTCACTCCGCACTTGTTGCTAGCAGACAGCAGGCAGACTGCCTTTCTGTTCGCAGTGCCCAGGCAATAGGATCTTACACCTCCAGGTGTATCTGTGTCCCAAGTCTCACTCCAAGGACTGTGTGGAGAACACTGTACTGGATGTTTAGCATTTTAGATGACTCTGGGCCAACCAAGGGTCATAGGAGTGAGGAAGTAGCCCTAGTGCGGCAGCTTTAAGAAAGTCCTCATTGGCAGCTGCTGTACTGGACAGACTGGCTTGCAGCAGACATAAGGCCCTTAGCCTGGACCCTTAGGTGCAGCAGTGCTTATCCCTTACCCACAATGAGTTCGCTGGCTGAATCCAGCTATGTTCATTGTTCATTGTTAAGTACAGGAAGTCAGCAAACAGACACTGCAGCACACTCATTCATTCCAATGCTCTCCTTCCTCTGAAGCTGCATCACACCCCTGACTTCTGTCCTGGTATCTGACTAGTCTATCTCGACACACAGCTGCAGGACCAGGTCCTGGGAGCAGAGTTCATGAGGAAGAAGTTCCAGCAGCTCACATGACACACCCTTGCAGCCATGGTTCTGAAAATGCTCAGCAGAGTTGAGTCCCTGCTGTGCAGAGACCTGATGGGCCTCTGTGTCGCCGTCCCAACTGCCGCTGGAGTGAGGAGTCACTGAAGGATGGTGGGGTGGTGACAGCAGTTGAAGCTAAGCGTACTCGCTGCAGCGGTTTGGGGTGGTGGCGGCTTGGGGGCGCCGGTCTGCAGTAATGCTCTCCCACTCCCGCTTTGCCATGATGTAAAGCCTCATCGCCGCCTGGGCATCCTGGACCTGGGTGACACACAGCAATGTTGACTATCCAGCTGGTGAGAACACATGGCCACAGGCCACAGAAGCCACCCTATGACTACTGAGTCTTCAGGATAGCCACAACACCGAGGCTGCAAGGCCAAGAGAGGCGCACACCTCCTAGGGTGACGACGGTAAGCAGTAAAGGAGAAAACCATGCAAACTGGCCGGGCCATCGGAGCACAAGCGAACTCCTGTGCTTCAGACTAAGCCACTGTTTACAGCGGCAGAAGGGGAAACTGCAGCAGCAGGAAGCTGGGTCTCTACAGCAGGCACAGCTGAGACAGGCACAGGGGCTCTAAGAGCGCCTGCACTCCAGGGGAACCTGCTCTCCAGAAAAGACTTCCTGGCCGGAGGGTGGGGTGGGGGAGCAGTTGGTACTGAGAGCCTAGAGCCATGAAGTCCTAAAGCACCCGTTAGGGTTTGGAAAGGCTCTATTGCCCATGGCTCAAGTGATGGAGCTAGGAGTCTTCAGCAAGGCATTATAGGGTTAATGGGACCTTTCAGGGTTGGGGCCTAATGGGGAGGGTATCCAAGGGAGCTGGAAACACATGAGGTAATTTTTGGGGCACCAGACCAGTCAGTTCTGCCAAGAGTGAACTGTTGCTCCTCCCTCCTTGGCATCTCTAATCAGCTAAGCCTCATTACCATGAAGTCCCCAGCCTCAGGTATTTAGTTAAAAAAAAGTAAGTATACTAATAGATTTGGAACCAAATTCTTTCAGTACAGTATATTATTCTTGGTACTGAGTTCAAGTTAATGTAAATATTTAAGATATAATCAACATTTTGTAAGCCTGATCTGCCTAGAATCCTCTCTTCTGTGTCTACTGTCAAGTGATACATGCCTAAGTATTACAGTCAGGGGCTGTTACCCAATGATACTTACCGAACAATGCTCTGCCTGCTGGACCTTGATCCCCAGAATTTTCTCAGAAAGTTGTTTCAGAGATGGCCTTCCACTCTGTAGAGAGAAGGTGCACACCACTGAATGTGCTGCTTTCACAGGCTCTGCCAAGGAGGACACAGCTGGCTACTGAGCACACCTAAGTTACCGTCAGTTTCCCTTTCACCAGGAGTATCTGTGGCACTTAGGGCTGCAACAATTAGCCTGCTATGGCTTATGACATTGCTTATCAGTCAATAAAGGAGGAGTTGGGGGCTGGAGATCCACCAAGTGGTGGAGTGCTTTTAATTTTTAAATTTTTATTAGTGACACATAGTTATGTCTATCTGCATATGGGTATGTGCAGAAAAGGCTAAGGGTGTCTGTCCTCTGGAACTGGAGTTATAGATGACTGTTAATCACTGACATGATCATTGGGAATTTAACCCATGTTCTCTGCAAGAGCAGCAAGTGCCCTTAACCACTGAGCCATGTCTGAGGAAACCTTGTGGAGTTGGTTCTCTCCTGCCTTCATGTGGGTTTCAGGGATCAAACTCAGGTTTCGAGACTTAATGCAACAAGCACTTAAAGGTTAAGATGAGAAACCAAAACAAACTTAACCCCTCTACACACAGGGTCAGGACCAGACCAGGGACCAGCCACAGTTCAAGACTCATTCATTACATACCCTTACTTGACTCCTGAAAGGTTTGAATTTCTGGGTGTCTCTGATTTTCTTCTTTGGATGATCAAGGAACAGAACCTAGAAGAAAATGATGACAAGTATATTCATTTCAGTCTACAGTAGTGGAGCCCCCTTTTCCATCTCACAGCACATCAGAGGATGTAACACTCAGAAAAAGGCAGAGCTTCTCAAATTAATCACTCACTTAAAGTGATGCCCAATATTAATAAAAATAAACCCTCGGCCAGATGTGGTACATACTTTTAATCCTAGCACTCTGGAGGTATATCAAAAAATGGATAGGATAAGATAGGATAGGAGACAAGACAGGATAGGATAAGAATAGGAGTAATAATAGCAATATGATAGGATAGAATCTTGACATCAAGATGCTGAGAAAAAGTTAATTAACCTGCAATCACCCTCTCTACCTGAGCCAATTCTGTTCATGGGGAAGCAAGAAATGAAAGTTAGCAGCTTATCCTGCAACTTGCCAGACTTCTAGACTCACACAGCCCAAAAAAAGTAACCTACTAGAGGAAGCATATGTGGCCCTGGGGACAGGTAACTTCAGTTAATTTTTTTTTTTTTTGGTCAGTCAGTCAGTCTCTCGCTTTATTGCCGTCCCATCAGGCCTTGACCGCAAACTTGCGAAGCGGGTACAGCCTCTCCTTCCTCTGCTGCTTGGTGACTTCAGTTAATTTTTAATTGTTAACATTTTTTTAATCTTTTTGGTGGTGGGATGAGACCCAGGGCCTTATACACACAAAGCGCGCATTCTGTCACCAAGCTACATCCCTGTCCCACACATTAGAATGGGAATTAAACTCCCACCTAGAGATTCCTGAAACACATGAATAAAGTGACACCACAGTTCATACCCAGGAAGGACAATGTCCACTGTTTAATCAGCAGGCATCTAAAAGAGCAGAAGCTAGAGGTCAGATGTCCTAGTGTTGGGTGGAGTTCTCTGAGCTCAATCACCTAACTAGCTGATATTTGGCCAGCCTTCAAAGGAGGTGACCAGCTGGAATGATGCCTTCAGGAAACACATACCCATCCAGTTCCTCACCCCCAGGGACAGCTGAAGTAGCAGCAGCAACAGTCAGCTCTGCCAACTTGGTGTGCTGAGGAGCAGTGGGGGAGGTATCTGAGGGCATACCCACTACTCTCCTGGAGCCTTCTCCCAACACCCTAAAACTCAGCTCTACCACCTACAAGCCTAATCCCCGTCTTCAAAGAATTAAGCAAGATCTGTTTAGACTGTGTAATTGCTGGTGGCACCCAGTAAGGCACTGATGCCTGGCCTTAGAAGTCCATCACACCAGATGGCAGCAGAGGTATCCCTTATGCCAAGTAGGTTATGCTCCCATTTTCCTGCTAACACACTCAAGTGGACCAGAGAGCAGTTTACTTGTGAACTTAAAGTGACCTACGTAATAAGTCCTGGCTAGGTCTTCCTCAGATGCCAGGGGAGAACAGGAGGCTGGGCTTCAAGCATCACAGCAACGCCTACATATAAAATGGACATACAACAGAATCCCAGGGCTTTGGCAGTGTAGAGAAATTTGTCTCTGGTCAAAGGGCACACAGCTAGACATCAGGCCATCTGCCAGATCAGACAGGTGACACTCACTCAAAGCCCCCTACATAGAGTTGTCAGCACTTTGGCACTGGAACCAGAGTATAGTCAGGACTCTAAAAACAAGTACCTAATGTCGTCTCTTGAACACAGCCAAACCTCAGGTACTTGATACTATTCCTAAAGAATTTCCAAGTCAAGATAAAAATTCAAAATGAAAAATGCCCCAGTGTTGCTTCTAAAGACAGGCATTTGAAGCTGTGTGTAGCTCACATGAAAGAGCTATGACCCCAAGCCCAGCACCTTTATTATTTATTCATTTTTTTTTCCCCCCTGAGACAGGGTTTCCCTGTGTAGCTTTGGAGGCTGTCCTGGAACTAGCTCTTGTAGACCAAGCTGGTCTTGAACTCACAGATCCGCCTGCCTCCACCTCCCAAGTGCTGGGATTAAAGGCATGCGCCCCCACCACCAGGCTGCCCAGCACCTTTAAATCATTGTGCAGCGCATGTCCAACCAGGATTCTGCCCTTCAACATTTCTGCCACTTCCTTCTTCACCACTTCAAATTCTTCTCCTGAAAACCAAACAACATATAACACACCAAGATTCTAAGGGAAGCTCCTCCCATTGCCTGGCCAGACTGATGATAACAGGCCAGGCCCTTAATGATACACAAGCTTTGAAGGGAGGTAGACCCCTAGCAGTGTCTCACTGGACTCCAGGGAAGTGCAAAGGCTAGGAGGGACCCACTGTGCCTTGTGCTCTGTGGACAGTTAAACAAAAAACAAAACAAAACAAAAAAGACAAGCTCTACTCAAAACCAATCACAGTGGTGGACTGGCACAAGAATTTTGAAGACTTCTCAGGAACACCTGACAATTTGCTTTCCACTCAGTACAACTCATACTTATGACTTCCCACGTGGATTCAGCCTGGATCTCGCCCACAGATGTATAAGGAGGGCTGCATGGACCCTAGAGTCTGCTCTACTGCTCTTTCCCAGCAGATATCCTTTGGGGATCACCCTGCCCCCACCCCTACCAAATCCAATTCACTGTCCAACTCTGTTCAGAGCTAATAGGACCAGCCTCCCTTCTGAGATAGAAAGCAAGAGCTGCTGGTCAGCCGTGGTTCAAGGAGCAACAGAGCCACCTTGCTGACTATGGATACCAAGAGAAGCCAACGGGCAGTGTGCGGGGAGGAGTGGGGAGAGATCACAAGGCTGCATCTCTAGGTCTCCAGGTCTCTCTAGGAGGCAGGCTCAGAACATCCTAGATGTCTTCTACTACAAATCAGACCCAGTTTCTGCTACGTCTTCCGGCAACCTCCCTATTCAACCCCTGCCTCAGTGTGGTAATATCTGGCTTGTTCAAGGGTCAGAGAATGGAGCTTGCCACTGGCTAACTATAGAAGCCTGGCGGTCTCTACAGACAGACAGACAGTGAGGTAGCTGGGCAGAAACAGGATATAAGCAGGGAGAAACAGGAAACCACTCTCTTGTCTGCTGAGATGGTAAGGGGGTAAGGCCTTCCATGGTTTGTTCCTTCTCTCTGATCTCTCAGCATTTCCCTCGATCTGACTCTGGCTTTTTATTATCTAGACCAATCAAGAACTCCATTTACACCTCAGAATCAGTCTTCTGACCTCCAACCCTATTCTCAATGTCATGACCAAAGGATCCTGCTGGACACCTCACTGCTAACATTGCAATAGTTTTCCACCCTGTGATCTGTCCCCCAGCTCCCACCATGTGGCCTACTCACCCTTCATGGCTTCCCTCCTGGTCCCTAACACACTCCATTTTAGCCCCCACTGCCATAAAACAGAAAGCAATCCAAAGAGCACTGTCCTGGGTAGGAGGCAAAGAAACATAGGACACAAACAGCACAACAGTCAGGAAAGGCACCTTTTGAATCTGCAAAGTACGCTATTCTGGGGAAGAGGTAAGAAAGCCAGGACCCCTGTCATACCTTATTCCAGAACACAGAAGGGAAAGTAGGAGAGAAATGAGTCCTGCTATCATCTCCATCACTGCACTCAAATGCTACAGGCATCATACCCTGCTTCAGGTTCTCAGGCCGTATCCCACTGACTGCTGTCCTGTAGTCTGTCACCGGCTCAGTTGGCTTGACGTACTTGTCATAAACACATTTCCCATACTGGTTCACGATGGACACACGGGCTGCGATGCTGTCTTCCCCATTGGGACCCACGCCTACCATCTCACAATCCAGGGCCAAGGCTTTTGTCAGGCTGAGGGGAACCAAATGCCCCAGTGTAATAAATATCACAGGCTGGGATTCTAGGCCAGTGAGCCAAGCCCACTCATCACCATTTTGTACCCCTAAGACCTGCTGCACAGTCATGGCTCAGTGCTCACTCCTCCTCCCGAGAGATTCCAGCCCCAGAAGGCAGAGCATTCCCAGCAGTCATGGCCCGAGCACAGCTTACCCGCTAAAGGCCTGTTCCTTCTCCAGGGAGAGGGCTCTCTTGCTCTTCTGTCCCAGCCGCTTCCGTACCAGCATGGCTGCCTCTGGGCCTATGGCAGCCTCAATATCATCTGGATCCACATCATCAAACCAGATGTCCTCCCTGTGAGGCAAAGGTGTGAAAAGACACGAGGCACTGGATGCCTATTCTAAGACTCTCTCTGCCCAGTTGGTAGGCACTGGATGCCTATTCTAAGACTCTCTCTGCCCAGTTGGTAGGCACTGGATGCCTATTCTAAAACTCTCTCTGCCCAGTTGGTAGGCACTGGATGCCTATTCTGAGACTCTCCCTGCCCAGTTGGTAGGCTGTGAGGAACAGGAAGGCTGGCAGTGAGCGGGTAGGCAGCACCAGGAGGGGCTGGCAGGACTGTCCCCTCACACTGAGTCCAGCTGAACCTGCTGCTGCGCTTCCCTTTCACTGCTGTCCTTTCTCCCTGGACAATTTTTTGGACGGGTGCTTTCCCTGCAAGTATTACTTGCATACCTGGTGCCTGTGATGACCAGAAAAGGGCATGCATGGGATCCCCTGGAACCGGAGTTACAGAAGGTTGTGTGCTTCCGTGTGGGAATCCAGGCATGACACAGCAGCTAACGCTCTTAACCACTGAGCCATCTTTTCAGCCCTCACCGCTGTTATTTTAAATTTGCAAATGTATCTATTATCCAAGACTTAGGAACAACAGATAAAAACAACGAATGTAGAACAGAAACATGTGACCCGCTTCAGTAGAATGATCACTAACATTTGCTAATTAAACAATAGACGTGTTATCGATCAGGATACACACAGGTAGGAGGACTGCATGACAGATAGAGATATATGCCTTGCACATTTTGGAAGAGTGAGAAAGACAGAATTGATGGTGGATGCTCCAAGGCTTTCTGGTGAACTCCAGCTTTTTAGCCTAATTTCAATATCATTACTCAAAAGTGCTCAACTGACAAGCCTCTTGTTTTGTGTTCTTTGCTTTCTTCACTAGGCTACCCTGACCACCCCCCACCCCTGCCCCCCCACCTCCCACCCCCTCACCCCCGTACAAATGCTAAAGTAATCATTCATGTGCCTCCCCTGCTTATATCAGCCTTAGGAAAGAGGGATCTGGTTGCCCATCTTAAGTCAGCCTATATGACTCAGAAGAGGCAGCCAAACCCACATCCCTTTATCCTTCAGTACTACGTCCTGTAGTCTGTCAGGGGCTGTTAGCTTGACTTGACAAAGCTGACATAAACCCATTTCCTATACTGGTTCCCAAGGAGATGCTCTCCTTCCCAACAATTCAGAGCCAAGATTTTCTTTAGGCTAAAGGGAAGGGAAGGCTCTGATAGTAGGAGCCAGCCTGCCTTATAAGCATATCCATTCCCGGAGAAGTGTCACCACAGTGCTCATTAAGTAGCCAAAAGACACTAAGCAACACATGCTGCACCTCAGTCCCCCTAATTATACAGAAGGCCACACTGAGAAAAGACACAGAAACCTGACCAAAGTCACCAACTGGCAAGAGGCAGGACTGGGTCTCACACTTCTCCTGGTTCCAGCACACATTATGCCAAAGTTTTTGTTGGCATTTACCTTGTGCCAAGCTCTATGTTGGGGTCCAAAGACACAGCACTAACTGTACAATAGGGTCTGCCTTCAGCAACCCACACTCTAGCGGAAACAAGTAACAAGAAAACAACAAAACAAACACCATAGGGTCAGGTGATGAAGACTGCACCAGGGCCAAATGGTCATTTCTTCTTAGCGGTGAAGACAGTGGAGGCTAGATGCACATTAAGGACCATCTGTATCTGTGGCCCCAGCAGCAAAGGACATACCGGTCCCCAAAGCAGAGCTGATACTCACTCAGTAGGTGAGGACTGATTCAAGACGACAGCTGCCTCCTTAGCTTTCCACTTAGGCTTGATGTCCCCCTGATGAGAAGAGATGTCACTGTGTGTCCTCTTCTTGGCACCTTTCTTCTGTTCTGTTCCAGAGGAATTTGTGGGAGGTCCAGGTCTCTTCTTGTCCTTCTTAGGTGGAGCCGTAACAGAACCCCTGATGGTCTGGTCTTTTTCTGTCCTCTTCCCATCTTCCTTTGATTTATCTGAGGTCTCTTTTTTGTTCTGCTGGATTATCTGGGGATGCATGTTGTCATCCATCTGAGAGACAAGTGGTTTTTCTGGGGCTTGTGACTTCTGTTTCAGCAGCTAATGGGATCAGAATTAAAAATATGCCATATTTAAATTTTGAACAGACATACCAAATTTTTTTAAAAAAAGAAAACTTGTATGTAAATGTATTTGCAAACATGTGTCCACCTATACACTTCCCGTCACCATCCCCAGCAGAAAATTACTTGGAAAAGCATTTTTAACATCTATTTTTATATGCATGGGTATTTTCTTGCATGTGTCTGTGCACCAGATGCATGCCTGGGGCCCACAGAGGACAGAAAAGTGCATTGGATCCCCTACAATTAGAGTCACAGACAGTTGTAAAGCCACCACATGGGTGCCAGAAATGCGACCAGGGTCCTCTGGAAGAGTATCCACATTCTTGATTACTGAGCCGTCTCTCCAGCCCCTGGAAAAGCCTTGTTTATGCTCTGAAGTCACTGGCACTGCGATTCCTTTCCTTTGCCTAGGGCAGCGCATAGCCTGGTGATGTTTCTTCACTCTGCATTCCGAACTCTATACCATGTGCGCCCGAGTGACTGAACATCCCAGAGCACTTCACTAAGGGGGGGGGGGCGGGGGAAGCATCATTTTCACCTCTTCCATGTGGAGCTGCATTTAGAGCGACTCCACAGTCAACACTCTAGGGCACGGTGAACACCTCCTTTACACTATCTCTGGAGGTTGGCTACAGCTCAGGGTCTGGGGAAGACCCAAGGGAAGGGAGTTCAAAGGAAAGAAAAAAAATCCTGTTAAACCAGAGATGATCTGATGGGGGGGGGATGTCCTTCAGTACATGTGTTTCTCTTATTGGTTGATGAATGAAACACGGGCCGATAGAGGCAGGAAGACAGGTGGGACGAGGAGACAAGGAGAATTCTGGGAAAGGTAGGCAGAGAAGCGCTGGGATGGGTCGCCGTGTAGCAGAGGAAGGAGTAACGGGTCTGGACCCTTCTCCAGTAAGACCATGTGGAAATACTTACCTTAATAGAAATGGGTTAATAATTAAGACAGACCTAGCCAATAAGAAGCCTTAGCCATCATCGGCCAACAGTTCCATGTGTCTCGATTTTCTCATCTAAGAAACGGGGAAAGCACCTCACTGAACATAAAAATGTGTGAGTGAGGGTGGATATAGGGGTTCACACCAGTAATCCCAGCATCTGGGAGGCTACCTAACATAGGAGGACTACCTCTAGAGCAGGGAAACCCTGAGCTACACGGGTTTCAGAGTAGTCTGGGCCAGAGTTCTGGTACATAGTTTAAGATGTTGGCAGGGTAGCAACTGAGATATGGGAATTATTTGATTGAAGCAAAGAGCAACCTCTATAGTATATAGAAGCACTGGCCACTACTAAAATTGTCAAAAGGCCAGGCAGCCAAAATTGCACGACCGCCGTGCCTACAGGCCGCCGTTCCTTGTGAAGGGGTCCGTGCAATGCGGAGTGGCCCTTCCAAGTTTTGGAACCACCCGTAGTTCTCCTTCGCGGTCTGTGGCTACCCGACCAATAGTCCGGGATGAAGGCGGCCTGTCGCCAGTCTCACCTCTTGGAGCGCCTTCCAGTTTTGAGAAAAGTTCTCTGGGGCCTTTGGCGGTCGGCCTGCGACAGCGGCCGGGAGGCTTCCCGGGGCCACGCTTCCTCCCTGCGCTTTGCTCTTCTTGAACCTCTTCCTGGCTTTCTTCCGAGCGAGCTTCTTGGCAGGCTCAGGTTGGGACACCGGCGCGGTGGCCTTCGCCTTCATCCCGTCGCTCTCAGCAGCCCGACCCTGAAGGGAAGAGACTGGAACTCAGTGGCGACCGCGGAAGCACGCCCCCAAAAGCAAGCGTACCTCCGCAGCGCTTGAGGAAGCCCGGGTAGCGCTTCTCTTTCGCGACCTGCTGGAAACCGAGTCTGCACCTCTAGTTCCGCACGAATGCGAAGTCGGCAGGCGGACCGCTAGTTAACACCATACAGGCCGCCCGTCCTGGTGAGCGGCGCCACGGCTGAGGACCTGGAGTTTGACAGGAAGGACTCCAGGCCATCACCAAAATTAGGAGTCATGAGAGGGCGGGAAATGAAGAGCATCAGGGACACCGGAAAAGGCTTGGGGGGACCCTTCTTGGTGTGGCACCACCGGGGAGACTGGAAAGAGCTCGGGCTGGGCTTGTGAGGGTTACCCGGTGCCCAGCCAGACACTCCGGAAACAGCCTTACTAGTCGGATTTACCAAATTATGTGGCTGTAAAGGCGAGCCAGTGATACTAATTGTAGGGGAAAAGGAACAGCCAAAGAAACACACGTTGGCCCTGCAACCAGAACCAAAGAAATGCACCCTGATCCTGAAACCAGTGCCAAAGAAACACACTTTGGAATCAGAGCCAGTGAAAGAAATTGCACCCTGGCCCTAAAAATAGAGCCAAAAAGGCTAAAAAGGACCAGAGAAAGAAACAAATCTGACCCTAACCCTGAGCAGGATATTAAAATCTGGCCAATCCCCACCCTGGAAGCCCTATATAAACCCTGTGTCTGTTCAGCTTGTGGCTGTTCTCCTGGATTCTTCCCTCCCAATAAACCCCTTGGATGAGCTTTGGGTGAAGACCTTCTTTTGCGGCGGAGCAGAGACGACCCTGGGCAGAGCAGAGCCTGCAGGGCTGTAACACTTTTGCAGGGGAAACCTTCCTGGGAGCAGAGCTGAACTGCAGCAACTTCGTCAGGAAAGCTTCTTGCCGGAGTAAAACTGCTACACTTGGTAAACATCCCCAGCTGGAAGACCTTCTCCTGCCAGAGCAGAGCCAATACACTGGGGAAGTCTTTCCTAGAGACCCAGCTGTAAGCTGCTATGCTTACTGTGGTCTGTGGTAGTCCTTGGCTCCTGAGCTCCAGAATACCTTTCCATCTGAGCTGTGTAACACTCAGTATTCTGTGACTTCTGAGTGCCAGAATACCTGTCCCATATGACCTGTCGAAATGCTTACAGTAATGATAAACCAAGATTTTTTTGTTTTGTTTTGTGTTTTTTTTTTTTTTTTTCCGAGACAGGGTTTCTCTGTATTGTTTTGGAGGCTGTCCTGGAACTAGCTCTTGTAGACTAGGCTGGCTCGAACTCACAGAGATCCGCCTGCCTCTGCCTCCCCAGTGCTGGGATTAAAGGTGTGCACCACCAACACCCGCAATAAACCAAGATTTTAATTGTGAAAATATACATGTATTTTTCTTAACTGCTGCGTTAATAAATGACCATGCTTGACCCTTCGTTTGCACAGATGAGGCCTCCATCATTGTATAGTTAGCTTTTCAATGCTTAGAGACTCACAGCACTCTTAGGGAGGTCAGGGAGCCATGTGGTGGTGGTGGTGGTGGTGGTGGTGGTGGTGGTGGTGGTGGTGGTGGTGGTGGTGGTGGTAAGGACCCATGTGCCAAACATGTTTGACATCCCTCTCCCACTTAAGTTAAAGACCAAAGGAATCCAGATGAGTACAGATGACTAGGAGAGAAATGAACTTTTGTAAATTGCAAATTTAGCACTTGCATAGTTATCCATGTAGTTTGAGATCTAGAATCAAAGCGGGTATTCCCCCCCCCCTCAAGATACTATATACCTAGAACACAATCACATTTCATGATTACTCATTTCTTATTACAGAATGTCCTCTGGGTATGACTACTTGGTAGTAACCAAACCTTTCATTTATTGAACATTTACTACGTGACAACTGCTTTTTCATACTTTGATTTATGTAACAATACATAAAGTGATGCTTTTTTGGGGAGGGGGGACAGGTTCTTTTTTTTTTTTTTTTTTTTTTTTTTTGGTTTTACGAGACAGGGTTTCTCTGTTTTGGAGGCTGTCGGTCCAGCCTGGCCTCGAACTCACAGAGATCCGCCTGCCTCTGCCTCCCGAGTGCTGGGATTAAAGGCGTGCGCCACCAATGCCCGGCAGGACAGGTTCTTATTATGTAGTTTGACTGGGCTGGAACTTGCTGTGTAGGTCGGGTTAGCATCAAACTCAATAGATCTGCCTGTCTTTATTTCCCAAGTGCTGGAATTAAAGGTGTGTGCCACCACACCCTGCAAAAAATGGCTGGTTTTTTTGTTTGTTTGTTTGTTTCTTTTATTTTTTTCCGAGACAGGGTTTCTCTGTGGCTTTGGAGGCTGTCCTGGAACTAGCTCTTGTAGACTAGGCTGTTCTCAAACTCACAGAGATCCACCTGCCTCTGCCTCCCGAGTGCTGGGATTAAAGGTGTGTGCCACCAATGCCCTGCTAAAGTTAGTATTAAAACAGCCCACAGAAAACCCCATGGAGTCTGTTTTATGTGACCAACTGCTCCTGGACATTGAGCCTGTCCTGGAGTATGGTTAATATACCCAACAACATTCCACTGGAGAGAACTTATTTTACCTTCCCCAGCAGGTTAACAATTGCAAATGACTTTGTGTCTACTTCCTCTTTCTCAGTGCTGGGATTTTGTCTGGCTTGAACCTGTGCAGGCCCTAAGCATGCTGTCACAGTCTCTGTGAGTCTGTATGGTTACGAGTCCTGTTGTAATCTGAAAGACACTGTTTCCTCGGACTCATTCACTGGCTCTCTTATAATCTTCCCACCTCATCTTCCAAATAGCTTTCTGAGCCTAGAGGGGAAGATTTTGACATCCCATTTAGGGCGGGGCTAAGTGCTCTGAAGTCTCTCACTGTCTACACATTGTTCAATTGTTCTCTATGTTAGTTCACACCTACAGCAAGAAGTGACTCTGATGGGGGCTGAGAGATGCAGTGATTTATGGGCACAGTAATATGTCATTAGGAGTCATTTTATTGCTAGGCTCCTTTAGCAGAATAATAGCAGTAGTTTTCCCCCTAGCCCTAGGACGTATTTGGTCTCAGGTACTTGGCCACTTTAGCAGTGTCCTGTATGGGTCCCATCTCATGGAACAGGCCTTAAATCCAATCAGAAGGTGGTTGCTTACTCTCATAACTAGGGGTTATAGACAGTTTAGTTTATTTGATCTTTATTTAACTTTGGTAGGTCATATGTTTCAAAAAACTCATCAATTTCTTTTAGGTTTTCCAGTTTGGTGGAATATGTCTTTAGGATTCTCTGAATTTCTTTGCTGTCTGTTGTATTATCTGTCTTTTCATCTCTAATTTTATTAATTTGGCTCTTCCATCTTTTGGTTCATTTGGCTAAAAGTTTGTTGGTTTTCTTAAAGAATCAACTCTTTGTTTTATGATTCTTTTGTTTCTATTTTGTTGATTTCAACCTGAGTTTGATTATTTCTTCCTATCTATTTTTTATTTTGGTTATTATTTCTTCCTCTTCCTCTTCTTTTTCCTTTTTTTTTTTTTTTTGAGACACGCTTTTTCTGTATAGCCCTGGCTGTCTTGGAACTCACTCTGTAAACCTGGCTGATCTCAAACTCAGAGATGCACCTGCCTCTGCCTCCTGAGTGCTGGGATTAAAGGCGTGTGTCACTATTGCTGGCAATGATTTCTCCTTGGTTTTTGTTTATTTAGAGTTTTCAGCGGTGTCATTAAGTATTAATATGAGATACATCCAGTTTTTTACGTAGGCACTTAGCACTATGAACTTGCCTCTCAGAACCACCTTCATTGTGTCTCACAGGTTTGGGTATGTTGTGTTTTCATTTTTATTCAATTCAGTTCTAAAAAGTTTTAAAGTTTCCTTGATTTCTGAAATGAAAATTGAGCCAATTTTCATTCTGTAGTGAGCCTGTCAGCTTCACTGAGTTTGTATACTATCTGCCGTTTCTTTTGTTGTTGACATATAGCTTTAATTTTAATGGTCAGATAGAATGCAAGGCACTATTTAAGGTCTTTTATGTATCTATATGGTGTATGTATCTGGTCAGTTTGCCGTTGATTGTCTTTCCCAAGTAGCCATAGTCGTTCTCTGATTGGCCCATAGCTGCTTTTCTGGAGTCTCCTGCCGTGCCTTTATTTTTTACCCATTGGAAGAGCTCAGATAAATGTGTGCCATATGAATGAACGAGTGGGTGGATCCAGTGGAGGGGCAGAGGCGCAACGCAAGGGACAAGAGGAGTGCTGAGAGAACCAGTCACCAGAGAGAGGGACTGAAACGTGGTTCCTCAGCTTCCAGAGCTTCCTGCCCTGCACTCACATGTGCAACCCCACCAGTGATAACACATATACGCATGATTCGAAGATAAGAATTTAGAACCTAGGAGCTGAAGAGGTGATTCAGTGGCCAAAAGCTCTTGCTGCCCCTGTATAGGGCTAGCATTTGGTTCCCAGCACCCACACTGGGGATTCAATGCCCTGTTTGGGCCTCTGTGGACACCTGCACTCACACGGTGGTGCACACTCAAACAAGCGGGCACACGTGCACATGGTGGTGCACACTCAAACAAGTAGGCACACATGCACATGGTGGTGCACACACAAATAAATAAAAATAACTAATTTTTTTTCATTAAAAATATACCTCAAGGAAGCAAGAGGGTAGGAAAGGTCCCTGAGCCAGTCTGGCCCAGCAAGGTGGGTGCCTATCCTCCCTGTACATGGGCTAAGAGAGCCTGCAGGTTTAACTGGGGAGCCAAAGTAAGAGGTAATAGTCAATTTCCTATCACTGTGACAAAATATCTGAGGTAATCAACTGTATAAGGAAGAAAGGTTAATTTTAGCTTATGGTTTCAGTCATGGTTGCTTAGGACCTGTAGCGAAGCAGAGTACCCTGGCGGAAGGATTTGGCAGAGAAAAGCTGCCTACCTCATGACCATCAGAAGTCCATGAGCTTAGACTGGAAAGAACCAGTCACCCAATATCTTTAAAGGCCACAGTCTCAATGACTTAACTTCTTCCCACTAGGTCCCATCTCTGAAAGGTTTCACCAGCCTCTACAGGCTGGCGGTCAAGCCATCAATTAATGTACCTTCAAGGAACACTTGAGATCTCTATGGTTAGGGCTCTCTAGAGGAAGAGAATGTGTAGCATGACTATATATCACAAAGGACATTTAGTAGATTGGCTTACATGATATGGGCTAGTGTATTAGTCAGGGATCTCTAGAGGAACAGAACTGATGGAATGAATCTATCTATCTGCTATCTATCTATCTATCTATCTATCTATCTATCTATCTATCTATCTATCTATCTATAGGGATTTTCTTAGAATGGCTTACAGGCTATGGTCCAGCCAGTTTAACAATGGCTGTCTCCCAATGGAAAATTCAAGAAGTTTTCAGTCACAAGGCTGGATGTCTCAGCCAGTCTTGGTCTTCAGTATATACCCTCAGAATCTAAAGAACAGAGACTAGGAACACACAGGCAAAGAACAAAAGCTTCTTTCTTCCTTGTCCTTTATATAGGCTGCCATGAGAAGGTATGGCCCAGATTTAGGGTCTTCCTGACTCAAATTATCCAATTAACCAAAACCCCCCACAGGTGTGCCCAGCAACTTGGGTTTTTAGTTAATCCCGGATGTAGTCAAGTTGACAAGCAAGAACAGCCACCTCAGCTAGGAGGTTCCGCAATGGTCGTCTGTGTACTCAGGAGGCAGAGAACCTGGTAGCAGTTCCAGGTGGCACTGAGTCTGGAGGATTCCAGGAGAGCAGCTGATCTTCATCCTGTGTTCAGAGGTCAAAGAAACTGGATTCTGACGTCATCGAAGGATGGGGGTGACAGTGTCAGTAGCAACAGGGTGTGTGTACTCATGAGCTAGGAGTGAAAGCAGGAAGGCAGGGGGAAAAAAAAAACAGCTCTGCTTTTTCCTCGACCTCTTTGTGCCGGGGCTGCTGCCAGGAAGCGCTGCCCACTCTGGAGGAGGGTCTTCTCTCCGTCAATCTTCCCAGAAAGCACCCTCAGATCCATCCAGAGGTATGTCTCTCAGTCTGCTCCAGATCCAATTTTTTTTTTTGCTGTTTTTTTTTAAAATTTTATTTTCCAGTTTAAATTTAGATAAGACACACGGTTGCTTCACAAGTCAGTTCCAGGTCCCTCTCCCATTCCCTCCTCTCCTCCCGTGCCCTCCCCCCACCCCCCCCGTTATCCCCTCATTTCCTCAGGGAGGGTGAGGCCCTCCATGGGGGTGTGCATAGTCTGTCATTTCATATAGGGCAGGGCCCAGACCCTTCCCCAAGAGTTCAGGGTGAGAGTGCACCTCACATTGTTCTATGGGAGTCCAAAGTCCGTGTGTATACTTGGGATGGGTACTCAGATCCAATCTTGTTGACAACTAAGATTAAGTCACCCAAAGACCCAAACTGTGATTGGGGACTGGCAGGGTGAAGGGTGTGCAAGAGTGTTTTGGAGCAAGTGAATGAGAAACTCCCAGGAGGTGCAGCGGGATGCCAGGCAGTTAGCGACAGTATTTGCAGAGATGCGGGGCCACTCGCCCGCTCCATGACTTTCCCACCAGGCGCAGGTGCAGCCCAGGTGGACAGTGTCAGAATGGTAGGGATGAGGGCAAGGGAATGAGGTAAGGGCAAAGGGACAGGAGATACAGAGAGAGCCAGGGAAAAGGCAGGCCGAGGGACCAGAACTGCTGTGTCCTCAGTGCACCCTCTCACTGGTCAGTCAGAGACTCCAGCTGTTCAGGGCCTGTCATTTCACATAAACCCACATCCTGAGGTCCTATCCAGAGCTTGCTCCTGTCCAGACTGAACTGCTAGATCAGACCCCCCACCCCCACCCCAGGAGGATAGGTGTGCACAGCAGGAGGACTCTCCTGGTGCAAGACATAGTTGGGGTGCTCCTCCCTGGGAACCATCCCTGGCAAGTTCCTAGCAGAAGAAAACTGCCCGCCCCATAGCCTGCCCTGGGAGGAAGATCCCAAGAGTAAACACTGCCTAATGTCCCGCCCAGCCAGCAAATGAAATCTGTCACATTCCACACTAACCAGACTCCCAGTCACCAGGGCTCCTGTGCAGCCATCGGCTGCCTTTTCTAAGATGAGCGAGCTTTGCCTACGGGTGACATGCCAGCCTTTCCATGCTGCCAGTATCAGAGGAGTCATCACCGGTGCCTTCTTCATTCTGAGCTGCTGGGGGTTCTCTGATTCCCAGAAGGTGAGATTACATAAGATCTGGTGTTGGGTATTGGCATCACTTGGGAGGGGGGGGGCTGCCAAAGCTCTTGGGTGGAGTGGGTGTGATCTTTCTGCTGGCAGAAAAGGAAATTCCTTTACTGTGGTGAAGATGACAGACTTCACTTTGTTGCAGACCCGTGTGGACTGCTCTCCTCTGCTCCCTGACTAGGCGAGGCCCCTGGTTCTGTCTCCACATCTCCCGTCATCCCCTCTTCCTTGGCATTGTCTCCTTCCTCCTTCTCCTCTGTGTCTTTTTGCAGAGATTTCTTCAAGATCTGGAACCCAAGAAGGCAACCTCCTACTTTGGCCACAATGCTGCTGTACTCACAGGTAACTGTCCTGATGTTCTCTGAGCCAGGGGAATTTCTTGAGTCCTGAGTGGGGTACTGAGGGAGTTCCCACTGAGTCAGTGCCATGAGGGTTCTGGTGGCTATGGAAGGAGGAGGTCAGAGAAGCTTTGTGTCTTTCTGTTAATTAGCTTCTTCCTGCCAACTTGATAAAAGCTGTTCTGGGTGTTCTGGCTGCACTGGAGTCCTGTTTAGTATCACGAGGGAGGGGGCGTTCATTGGCTGGCCTCTTTAGCCTATGGATGGCCTTCAAAGGGCTGGCTGATTTTCAAGAACTTGTCACTTCTGGCCATAGTTGTAAATATTTATTCCTTCTATGGGAACAAGGTAGGTGCCAGGCCAAGCAGCTCTGACTCCTGTCCTGTAGATCTCCTCCTGGTGAAGGCTTTCCCATGACCTATGGATGTCTCTCAGGATGACATCCCTTTTCCTAGAAGAGCAGTTCGTGATTTCGATTAAAACCATGGTTGGAGGAATGACTGTGGAGCTAGGTTAGTTGGTAAAGTGCTTCCGTGGAAACATGAGGACCCGAGTTCTAGTCCCAGCATCCATGTAAAAAAAAGCTGGGCATGGTAGCATATATTTCTAATTCCAGTGCTGAGTAGAGACAGAACCCAGTGTGTATCCTTCCAAGACCATGGAAAATCTGGTCACAAATGGTCTATCTCCTAATCCTTTCTATCCTGACCACTAGTCAGGAAAAACCCTGGAGCTTGCTGGCCAGCCAACCTAGCCTAATTGATGAGCTTTGGGTCTCGGTGAGAAATCTTATCTTAAAACACAAGGTGGATGGCTCTGAAGTTGACTTCTGGCCTCCACACATATATCAAATAGACGCTGGCAAGGTCCAGAGACAGATGGTGCTAGCAGTCAGGGTACAGAGGGCTAGGGGATGTTCTTCCACTTGCAACCAGTTTTTCTGTGGCCTGGGTGGGATACACATTGTATGGATCACTGGTCCTCCTGCCTCTGGGCTCCAGAAGGGCTAGGACACTGTTACCTGGGCTCTTAGCCCTGTGCTGCAGAAGACAGTGAGCTATGAGCTGGACTCCTGTGGTCTGGGGGCCAGAGGCGGTCTCCTTCCTGCTTGCTTGTTTATGGAACGCCCATTTCTAGGCTGAGGCTCTTTGCCAAGAGCTGATCCAGCCCTCAGGCAAGGTCCCACAGTAAGCAACTTGCAGTCCCCGCTCACTCTGGAGCCTGAAAAAGCAGGGCTCTAATACAGAACCCTGTCTCCAGGCCTGGATTCCTCTCCTCTTTCACCAAGGAACGAATCCTGGACTCCTCTTCCTTAGCTAGAGGGTCCCAGATGGGAGGAACAAGGAAAAGGGGGGGTGGAGCCTGTCTCCTACAGTGCCTCAATTAACTGAGGCCCTGCCCCCCTTTGTGAGACAGGCTTGGGGTCCTAAGAGAACACTTCATCTTCTCTTTCCAGCCTAAGCTAGACCTCTTGCCCACTCCCTCACCACCTCCCTCAGGCTGAGAGCTGGGCTCTGGGAGTGGACATGAAATCAGGTTTTTGACTTCCAGGACTGACCACCCCCTCTCTGTTAGCTCCCCAACACCTTTTTTTTTGTAACCTTTGTTCCCAACCTTCTCCTTCCCATCTAGGCCATCCTTCCTCTCACCTCCAGAGACTGAGATGGAGAAGGACTCCGGGGGACATTCTGCACCTGGAACTGCTGGTGGCCGTGGGTCCTGACGTCTACCAGGTTCACCAGGAGGACACGGAACGCTACGTGCTCACCAACCTCAATATTGTGAGTGGTGGGCTGGCAACAGCTTGGGCAAGGAGGTGGGCTCAGGTCCTCTGGTGGGTCTGTGGCCTCTCAGAGTCTCTGGAAACAGTGTCCTACGCTCGGGGCTTATGATCAGAAGTCAGTACTTTTGAACTCAGTTTGTTGGGCTGAGCCACCGAACATGGAGACATGAGCTTTGCTAGAGCTCGTGGCCCTGAAGAGAAAGTGAGGTCACTACTATCTTCCTCTTCCCCCTTCTCCACTGAGCAAAGGTGGAGCAAGCCATGGGATCCCTCTCAATACCAGAACCCTCCCCATAGCCTCTCAGTTCTGCTCCAGTGTTCTTTTGGCCAACAGATCTCTTGCCCCTTAGGGAGGCACGGGGCAGATGAGCACTCTAGGTGTGAACATACGGTATTCTGGCTGAAGATGTGAGTCTCCCTTTCTTACGGCACCTCCTCCCTGTGATCTAATGGTTGGGAGAGCAGAGGCACCTCACACCATTGACCCTTATGTCAGAATGGCCATGTGTCAGCTGGGACACAAGTAACATCAAGTTTCTCTTGGAGAGGACACGGAACGCCTGTACCGACATCTGTGCAGTACTCACAGGACGTATGTGAGATGTGACTGTTCTGGGCCTTCAGGAATGTCGACCTGAATTTAATCCTAGAACTCACAAGCTGGGAGGCGACAGCCAGTTCCTGCAATCTGTCCTTTTACCTGCATATGTGTGCACATACACTAAAAAAAACGTAAACCAAGATTTAAAAGTCTGATGGACGGAGTCTAGGAACGCGTTCCAGCCAGTGACTGACAGCTCCGGCATTCTCCTCTTTTCCCAGGTCTGCTGCAGAGATGAGGAGGTGGAGTCACAAAGAGATCCTGGTGTGGCTCTGGGGCAGCACTAGGTCCCAGGCACTATCACTTTCTCTAGAATGGCTCCAGTCTCAGCCTGGTCACCTTTTTCAGGAGAAAGGGAAAGTCCTCTTTGCCTCCACCTCACCAGGCTCAGGGCCAAGGTCCCCTGCCACCATGCTGTTTACCCCAGGCCTGCCCTCCCATTTACAGGTGTGGTCTAAATCCACACAACCCCTGCAGGCTTTTTGTCCACAAGTCTGTCTCAGTGAAAATGACTCCTTCTGTCAATTGGAAACAATTGTCTTTAAATCTGGGGGTCCCTCCCTCCAATTTTAAGTTGCCAAAACCCAGGCTCTCTTGAGTTGTCCATGCCATTAGGACAGTGGTTCCCAACCTGTGGGTTGTGCCCCCTCTGGGTAGGGGATCAAATGACCCTTTCACAGGGATGCCTTAAGACCATAGGAAAACACAGACATTTACATTATGATTAATAACAGTAGCAAAATTACAGTTACACAATGAAAATGATTCTGTGGTTGGACATTACCACAACATGAAGAACTGCATTGAAGGGTCGCAGCATGAGGAAGGTTGAGAACCTCTGGTTTAGGAAAGCTGGTCAGACGGTACCTGAACCAGAATATCTAGTTTTATTCTCCGAGTCTGCTCATCAGGGAAGGCTTGATCTCCACCTTAAAAACAGAAAGTCTAGGCAGACGTTGGTGGTGTACACCTTTAATCCTAGCACTCAGGAGGCGGAGGCAGGGGGATCTCTGTGAGTTCAAGGCCAGCCTGGTGTACAGAGTGAGTTCCAGGACTGCTAAGACTATTACACAGAGAAACTCTGTTTCAAAAGATCAAACCAAACCAAACCAAATAAACAAACAAACAAACAAAAACCCAGAAAGTCTATAAGGAAACTTAGGCTTAGTGATTATAGTGACTAGTAACCTGATCCCACAGCTAGAAAGAGGCAGAGCTTAGATTCAAACTCAGGCCAGCAGTCAACTCTTTTTGTTAGTTGGTCTTCCCAAGACATGAGCTAGAGAGAGAGGCCCAGAGGCTTATCTGACAGTCTGCAGTTGGCTCCCAGCACACAGACAAGATTTCACTTCCACTCCACCCCCACCTCCATGGGGCACCCTCTTCACCACCAGCCCTGCCACTGGGGCTCCTGGACCCACTCTGAACACGTGTGTTGCCCCCTTCCCTGTTGTCTTCTGCAGGGGTCAAGATTGTTGAGGGACCCGACCCTGGGGGCTCAGTTCCAGGTGCACCTGGTGAAGCTGGTCATTCTGTCTGACTCCGAGGTGGGTGCAGACCTATCCTCTCCATCCTTTCCTGTACAGCTAACGGGTAGGGGGTGGCAACTGTGGGGCAGATGGCTCTCCTGAAGCTTTTCAGAGCCTCAGTTTCTCCATCTGTAATGGGGGGTAGCAATGGGATTGTTATAATATGAACCAACTGAGAAGCGTGCTGGCAACAGCACCATAATTGGTACCACTTCCCTAGAAACAGGCTCTTTGGTTGTTCCTTAGAATACTCCAAATATCACAACCAACATCACCTCATCCCTGATGAGTGTCTGTGAGTGGAGCCACACAATCAATCCCCACGATGACAGGGATCCAAGTCATGCTGACCTGATTCTTTATATAACCAGGTACCTGAGGTCCCCACTGGGGTGCCGCTTGCTTTAAAGGGCTGCACTATGACCTTCCCTGCCTTCTGCACTAGCAACATGACTGGTGGAGTCATCCATGCGATCCTTTTCTCTCTCATCAAGGTTTGACCTGGAGTTGCCTGATGGTAACAAGCAGGTTCGGGGGGTCACCCAGCTGGGAGGTGCCTGCTCCCCGTCCTGGAGCTGCCTCATCACTGAGGACACTGGATTCGACCTAGGAGTCACCATTGCTCATGAGATTGGACACAGGTATGTGGCCTCACTAGCTGTCCCCAGACTGGTCAGACAGCTGGTGTGAGCCCTAGGCAGGCAGCAAACCTCTGCAGCACCTGTCAAGAAGCCTATACCCCAAGTCCAAGTGTCTTAGCAGGAAAGCTTGAGGCAGGGGAAAGTTGATTACTGTTAATATCACTGAGTGATTAACATAAGCTCTTTTTTTCTAAATAAACAAACTGCAATTAATTTTAAAGTTTTAAAAAATGTGTGTGTGTGTGTGTGTGTGTGTGTGTGTGTGTGTGAGATGTGGGGAGAGGATCACGCCACAGCATGCATGTATAAGTCAGAGGACAACTTTGTGGAATTGGTTCTCACTTTTACATAGATTCTGGGGACTGAACTCAGGTCATTAGACTTGTGCAGCTAGTGCCTTTACCCACTGACCCAGTCAGAAAATAAGTCTTGTAGGAAATTCCAGTAAAGACAAAAACAAACGGAAGGTTATCCTAAGTCCTGCCATGTCTTGGTTACTATTCTCCTGCTGTGAAGAGACATCATGACCAAGGGAACTCTTACAAAAGAAAACATTTACTTGCAGAGTTGCCCACAGTCTCAGAGGGTTAGTCCATGATCATTAGTTAGTCCAGGGAGCATGGCAGCCCACAGGCAGGCACGGTACGGGAGCAATAGCTGAGAGCTTTATATCCCGATCCACAGGCAAGACAGAGAAGGAGACACTGGGCCTGGTATGGACTTTTGGAGCCTCAAAGTCCACCTCCAGACACACACACTTCCTCCAAGGACACACCTACTCTAAAAAGGCCACACTTCCTAATCTTCACAAACGGTTCATCAGCTGGGACCTGAACATGCAAATATATGGGGGTGTTTTCTCGTTTAAACTACCACACCCCACTTATGGAAATGCCTCCTCAGATTTATATTTAATTTTGCCACACCAGACTTGTGGCATACATTATTATTCTGATTCTATTGTGATTTTTAAGACAGGGTGTCACATGGTTGCTTAGCCATCTGTCAAATGCTGGGTAGGATTACAGGTTGGTGTCATCAGCCCACATAACTCTTGTCTTTTAATATAACTATATATCTCAAACATTTCTCAGCTCACAGATCTCTTACAGTTTGTTTCATTTTGCTTTTTCTGAGTCCTTGCTGCTGTGTGAATTGTATATTCTTGTGGGCAAGTCTTTATTCCTGTGTATTATAATCATTTTATCTAGAATGACCTGTCTCTTTCCTTTTTGATTTTTAGAACTTTTTAAGTTAGGCAAATATAATCCAGTTGTTGTAAAAAATATCAAATGATATGGAAATTTGTAAAGAAGTGAGTTTCCCTCCTGACAGCCCGCCAACCCTCTGAAATGGTATGGGCTCCCAGGGGTCGAAGCCAGGCTCTCCCAGAGGTCCTGACCCCAACAGCTTCTGCACTGCCCTGCCCCCAGTCTCCTAGACTCCTAGGGTCTGCTCTGCTTGAAGTGTGGGGATATTCAGGTCTTGCCTGAAAGAAACCACTACCTAGAAACAGAAAGGAAAACTGCCACAGCTCTTGGGTCTCTCAGCTACCAGACAGCTACAGCATGGATAGAGTTCCCAAAGCTGAACACAGCCAGGCCTTCTGCTACAGAAGAACAACCTGCTGGCCCCTAGGCATCTACCTGGATCCCAATCCCCACTTCTACACCCCGACTCGTAACCATGGGTTTGGACAGTTTGTCTATCTTCAAAGGGTTTTTTTTTATTAGCCAAAGGAGATTAGAGCCACCCTGCTGAATCAGCTCTCCTCCCCTCCTCCTATAGATGGGAAACTGAGGCAGGGCCTCCAGGACTCCTTCTGTTGGGTTGGCTTAGCTAGTAGCAGAGTCCAGGTCCAGGGGACACAAAGGTGGCCCAACCCCAGGCCCAGCTGACTACTGTCAGAGTTTCTTCTCCCTACAGCTTCGGCCTGGACCATGATGGTGCTCTAGGCCGAGGCAGCACCTGTGAGGCCAGTGGCCACGTGATGGCATCTGACGGCGCAGTGCCTACAGGAGGGGCACTGGAGTGGTCCACCTGCAGCCAAAGGCAGCTGCAGCACCTGCTCAGGTACAGCCTCTACCCGGACAAGGTTGGCCATTACTCTCGTCTTGCCTAGCAGCCTTTATCCTGTCCCACTCTGCTGCCAGAGTCCCGTCTGAGAGCTCACATCCGTCCCTCCATCCCCTCCCGTCCCTCCATCCCCTCCTGTCCCTCCATCCCCTCCTGTCTCTCCATCCCCTCCCATTTCTCCATCCCCTCCCGTCCCTCCATCCCCTCCCATCCCTCCATCCCCTCCCATTTCTCCATCCCCTCCCGTCCCTCCATCCCCTCCCGTCCCTCCATCCCCTCCCATCCCTCCATCCCCTCCCGTCCCTCCATCCCCTCCCGTCCCTCCATCCCCTCCTGTCCATCTATCCCCTCCCATCCCTCCATCCCCTCCCGTCCCTCCCTCCATCCCCATCCCCTCCCGTCTCTCCATCCCCTCCCATTTCTCCATCCCCTCCCATCCCTCCATCCCCTCACGTTTCTCCATCCCCTCCTGTCCCTCCATCCCCTCCCGTCCCTCCATCCCCTCCCGTCCCTCCATCCCCTCCCGTCTCTCCATCCCCTCCTGTCCCTCCTCCGTCATTCTTTCCCACTTCACTGAACTCGCTCCTCTATTCCGCCCCCTCCCTCAGTTGCCCCTTGCTCTCTGCCCCCGTCACCTCCTGCTTCCACCCATGCATGCCAGCTATCTCCTGTCCATCGGTCCATGGCCCTCTCCATCCCTCTCTGAGCCCTCCACCTGCTCCCTTGGACACCCATCTCTGTTGGGCCCCTACCCAGCTAACAGTCCCCAGCCCCACATCTCCTCCTTCACCCTGATCCCACTGGTGCCCACCCAGCTCTTGAGCCCTGTCTGATCTGTCACAGCACAGGGCAAATGCATTGCTTCTGGGACCCACCTGGGCTGCAGTCAGCACCTTCAAGGCACCAGCTGGTGGCTCAGCCTGGCCTCTACTACAGTGCAGATGACCAGTGTCGTGTGGCTTTCGGCCCTGGGGCTGTTGCCTGCACCTTCTCCAGGGAGGGCCTGGTGAGTCCACCCCGCACTAACACCCAGTCTCATGCCACTCTACTCATTTCCCCGTGGGCGTCAGGCACAGCTGAGGACCACGCCAAGGCTTGATTCTGTCTAATGCTTGTGTTTAGTTTATTGTTAAAGAAGAAGTGTGTGCACACGCCTGTGTGTGAGTGTGTCCCAGTTCACTAGTGAAGAGGGGAGGACAACTGTGCGGTGTGGACTCTTTCACCGTTGGTCCTGAGGATTAAACTCAGGTCATTAGGTTTTCATTACAATCATTTCCACCCATTTCCCCCACCCTCCCCTTGGAAGTATTAAACATTTTTTAACTAAAGTCCCCACAGTTTTGTTTGACTTAACCTTATAGATTCAGATTATGCAGTCGTTCCTGGAACAAAGGCATCTAACCTACCGGGGTGGGCTCAGCATAAAGGGCTTCCAGAGGGCAGAGGCCTCCAGACTCCACACAGAGTAGGAATGTGGCTTGCAAGAGGTGATAAACGGAGAGGCCAGAGTCCCCTAAGTTAGATTTCCTCCCTAGGAGATGTAGGGCCTTCCCCCTTTGCCCAGGTTAGCCCCATTCCTCCCCCCCTCTACAAAAGCATTAAGAATTGATGTTTAGAGGCTGGGGACACAGCTTAGTAGGTAAAGTGCTTGCTCTGCTGGCATATTCAAAACCCCAAATTTGGTTTTGGACCACACAAACTGGGTGTGGTAGCATATACCTGCAATCCCAGAACTCTGGAGGTAGAAGCAAGAGAATCAGAAGTTAAGGCCATCCTTGGTTACATGGGGAGTTCAAGGCTAGTGTGGGCTACATACCTTATATTTAAAAAGCTATGTTTAGTATTTTTATAGAATGCAAACATCTCTGAATTATTATGTTTATTGATCTATGTTAGAGTGCTTATTTTTCTTTTCTTTTGTAAATGATTTATTTATTTTTATTTCATGTGCTATGGTGTTTTGCATGCATGTGTGTCTGTAGTAGTCTATCAGATCCCCTGGAACTGGAGTTACAGACAACTGTGAATAACCATGTGGGTGCTGAGAATTGAACCAGGATCCCCTGGAATAGCAGCCAAGGCTCTTAACCACTGAGCCATCTTTCCAATTTTAAATATTAAGGTATTTTCATGCCCCCTAGAGGCATGATGACAGGTCCTGGCCAGGCCCATCCTTGCTTCTGATGGGCAAGTCAGTCGGCTGTGTTCTGTTCCCCCAGGCTACTCCCCGGAGCAGGATGTTTACTGGTCTAGAAGGGACACTAAGCAGGCAGCCTCTCAGAGCACCATCTGTCCATCTCTTTTAGGATGTATGCCAGGCCCTGTCCTGCCACGCAGACCCCCTGGACCAAAGCAGCTGCAGCCGCCTCCTTGTTCCCCTCCTGGATGGGACAGAATGTGGTGTGGAAAAGGTTAGAGCGGTGAAGGATGAGGCTAGAGAAGGGAGGGCTCTGAGTCAGGGGGCAGCGATGAGAGGTTGAGGGGGAGAGTGGGGCGAGAACACCCAGGTCCTCTGCTCTGCACTCCCCGTGCTCCCCTGAGGAGGGTCTTAGTGAGCTCTCCCTCTAGGGCACTGTACCACCCTCGACCGTTCCATCCTCCAGCCCTCTCTTACACACAGAGGAGTTTGTTGAGTGACAGCAAGGTCCAAGCATCCCCACTGAGACTGCTTGCCTTCATTTCCTTGTACCATCTCCCTAGGGTTAATTTTCCCTTTTCACTGGGTACCCAGACCCTTCCTCTGTTGGCAACCTGATGTCTTCCCTTTAGCCTTTGCTCCCAGACAGAATGAGGTGTGTGATTGTACCCAATGTTGGAGGTCCTTCTGTGGAGGGTACCTGTTTATGAGGTCTCTGTATGGTTTGGGAGGTCTCTATGACTATTGGGAGACCCTGTATGTGACCCTTATGTACTGGGGAGGTCTCTATGTTGGGGTGCTTCTTGTCAGCGAGATCCATGTGTGTGTTAGAGATTCTAATGAGGGATATGGTCCCTGTGTTGGAAGTCGCTATGTGTGACTTTGGGTTCTGGAGGGTCCCTCAGGTGTTAGTGTCCCTGCGTATGCTAGCCAAATCGCATGTGTGCCGGGTCCCTGTGGAAGAGGACTGTCCTGCTTTGCAGTGGTGCTACAAGGCTCGCTGCCAATCCCTAGCTGAGCTAAGCCCTGTGGCAGCAGTACATGGACACTGGTCTAGCTGGGGCCCCAATAGTCCTTGCTCCCGATCCTGTGGAGGAGGTGTGGTCACCAGGAGACGGTGGTGCAACAATCCCAGGTACCTACAGAAGGCTTTCCTGAAGGGAGGTTGGTTGCCCTCCCCCATTCTCTGGCTGCAGTAGTGGTCATCTTTCACCCCTTTTGTTTTGTGGGTGTTTCCAGGCCTGCCTTTGGGGGACGTACATGTTTGGGTGAGGACCTCCAGGCTAAGATGTGCAACACACAGGTAGGCTGGTCTCCTAGATGGGAGGGTGGATAGGAGTTTGCCACCAGAATGGCTGACCTGTGGGCTCATGCCTCCCTTTTGAAGGAAATTGGTGATTAGCAAACCCCCTCCCAGAGTTTCCTTTTTCCTTCCTTTCCTTCTTTCCTTCCTTCCTTCCTTCCTTCCTTCCTTCCTTCCTTCCTTTCCTTCTTTCCTTCCTTCCTTCCTTTCCTTCTTTCCTTCCTTCTTTCTTTCTTTTTCTTTTTGGTTTTTCAACACAAGGCTTCTCTGTGTAGCTTTGGAACCTGTCCTGGCACTTGCTCTGTAGACCAGGCTAGCCTCGAACTCACAGAGATCACCTGCCTCTGCCTCCCAAGTGCTGGGATTAAAGGTGTGCGTCACCATCACCCAGCTCTCCAAGAGTTTCTACTTATCTTTGAGATGACATCTCTGTGATGAGGACTGACTGGGAATGGGGCTCTGGGAGCACTCAGAAGTGCCTCATTCAGACACTGATGTGAAACGCATCTTGCATAGACAACCATTTCAAAGGTCACAGTGCAGAGACAGCGCACCGGGAGTGCCGTGTAACCACTGCCGTCATCTGGTTCCAAGCTTCACCCCAGAGGAACCTTACACCAGTAAGCGGTCTCCTCTCCTCGTCCCAGCAGCTCCAAGCTGTTTTCTGTCTTATGCAGAACATAAGCAAGCATCTATGAACATATGTAAGCACCATCATGCAAAGAGCCAGCTCTTTTGATAGAGTATAATGTTTTCCTGCACTTGTCCATGTTGTACCATGAGTCAGCACCCTTCCTTTTGGGGGCTGAAAAACAGTCTGTGATATGACCAGAATACTTCTGTTTTTCTGTCATCATTTCTTTTTTAAAAATTTACTTTATATGCATTTATTATGCCTGGCTATGTGTCTGTGTGAGGGTGTCAGGTCCCCTGGAACAGGAGTTACAGACAGTGGTGAGCTGCCATGTGGGTGCTGGGAATTGAACCCAGGTCCTCTGGAAGAGAGGCAAGTGCTCTTAACCACTAAGTCATCTCTCCAGCCCCTACTTTTTGGCTATAGCGAACCCAGCTGCTGTCAGTGAGTTAGCTTTAGTTGGCTTGAGTTTTCTGTGACAAAACACCACAGGCAGAGTAACTTATCAAGAACAGAAATTGATTTCTTATGATTCTGAAGTCTGAAAGTCCAAGATAGGGTCCTGGCAGATTTGGTGTCCACTTCCCAGAAGGTCCCTGTTGCCCTGTCCTCCAGAGGCACAGAATACATGGTCTTCCAATGGTAGAGGGGACAGAAGTGACAAAAGTCCTACAACAGAGCCCTCTAGCCCTTTCAGAAGAGTCCAGTCCTAACTATTCAGGCAGACTCCTTGAACCCTCATCGCCTCACAAGACCACACCTCTTGGTCCTGCCTCATGGGGGCAATGAGTGTGGCCAAGAATTTTAGAAAACCACAGCACTGCCTAAAAATGGAATTGCTGCTTGTATAGAAATTCTAGGCTTGACTTTTACTTTGTCCTCTTTTTAAAAAGCCATGTTTAACTTTTCAAGTGTATGTACGTATGCATGCATGACTCTGTGTGTATACTCACTCATGTGTGTGTGGTACCTTTGAAGGCCATAACAGGGTATGGGATCATCGGGAGTTACAGGTAAATCACCTGATATAGGTACTGGCTGGAAACCTAACTTGAGTCCTCTACAAGAGCAGCAAGTGTGTCTAATGGCTGAGCCATCTCTTCAGGCCCCTCCCCACTTTTTTGAGACTGGAACTAACTATGTAGCCTGGCTATTCTGGAACTCACTGTAGATCAGGCTGGACTTGAACTAACAGAGACCCTCCTGCCTCAGCACCCCAAGTGCTGAGATTAAAAGCGTGCACACCACACCTGTCTTTAAGCTTAACAATCTGTTTCTCTTTACACTGGGGGCCATTTTGTCATTTTGTATTCCTACCAACAGCATGTGAGGGTTCCAGTGTTTCCATGTCCTCTCCTGCACGAGAGTTTTCAGTTGTCCTAGCTGCCATGAGGTGGTAGAATGATTTTTTCCCGTTTATTTAGAACCTATTCTCTGCTTCAAATGGCTGTTGGCTGCTGGAGCATTCAACACGTGGTGACACACCCCTGTCCTACTGCTTGCCTTCATTTGCTAAACGCCCAAGGCCTCCTCAGACCTTGAGAAGAGGGAGCTGTGGTTGCTATTTCTCCCCGTTTGGTCCAGTCCTTTTCTTCACAGCACAGTAAGGCAGCGCAGCATTTCTGGGTCACGGCTTCTCACTTCCTGCCTGCATGCACCTATGAACAGAATATACAGCTCAACCACAATCTCTCAGGTGCAGGACTTGGAACAAGGCCCCAAGTGCCACATTACTGCCTGGTTCTTTCTTCCTGCTGCCGCCGTGTCCTTTACAGATTATCTGGAGTTTTCCCATGGGCAGAAAGAGGCAGATCTGGTCGCCCACAGACCACTGAGCGAAGATAAGGCATAGCCCAGGGCTGAGCTGTCCCCATCTCTTGACCCTGCATGTACCTGTCCTCTGCCTCCTCTGGCCAGGCTTGTGAGAAGACTCAGCTGGAGTTCATGACCGAGCAGTGTGCCCAGACTGACAGCCAGCCACTGCGCCTTCCCCAAGGCGGTGCCTCCTTCTACCACTGGGATGCCGCTGTACAGTACAGTCAAGGTGAGCTGCGGGACCTGAGGGAGCAAGGCCATGGAGCCCTCTGCCAGACAGAGCTCTTGGGATTGGCCAGTGTCCCAGTTATTTGTCTTGCTGCTGAGATAATAGATAAAATATCCCAACAAAAGCAACCTCCAGAAGGAAGGTTTATTCTGACTCACAGTTCCAGGGTACAGTCCATCATGGCAGGGAAGTTGGAGGAGGAGGAGATTGAGGTAGCTGGACAAACTGTACCTGAAACCAGGAAGCAGAGAGAGAGAAAGAGAGAGAGAGAGAGAGAGAGAGAGAGAGAGAGAGAGAGAGAGAGAGAGAGAGAGAGAGAGAGAGGGAGAGAGAGAGAAGAGAGAGAGATCTGTATTCAGCATGCTTTCTCCTTATTTAGTAGTTTAAGACCTCAGCCCATAAAATGCTGCTGCCCATTTTTAGGATGGGTCTTCCCTTAATTAATCCATGAGACCCCCTCATAGTAGGACCAGAAGCTAATCTAATCCAGATCATCTCTTATGATATGTCTAGAAGCTTGTCTTCTAGATCATGTCAAGTCAAAATCAATACTAACCATCGCAGCCTCCATCACTCCAGTGCTGGTTGGGCAGGACTTGACTCCCGCTCTGGCATCCCACAGGCCATGTGTTGCTCTCTGGCTTGATCTGCTTATAATAATAAGCACTGAGATTCTATCTCAGAAGTGTCTTCTTCTGATTTGCTAGAGGGATCCAGGGAGATACTTCAGGGGAAACAATAGAGTGATCCTTGGCTCATAATCCAGGAGCCATGGCTATGAGACCAGAATATAATACGGCCCTGGTCACAGATGTGAGGCATAGTTATCTGGGGCTGGTAGGAAGACAGTAGCTTGGACCCTATCTGGCAGAGCTACCATATAGCAGGTCCCAGAGGAACTTTCTACCTAGCTCATTAACCTCTTTCTTCACCTTTGAACACCAGACTTCCATGTCACTCTGCCCTCCCAGGGGACACTCTGTGCAGACACATGTGCTGGGCTGTTGGAGAGAGCTTCATTGTGAGCCGTGGGGACAGTTTCCTAGATGGGACCCGCTGTGTGCCAACTGGTCCTCGGGAAGATGGGACCCTGAGCCTGTGTGTGTTGGGCAGCTGCAGGGTAGGTGTGAGGACAACACAAGTTTCCCTCTATCCTTCTGGACTCAAGGCTTTCCTGTCCCAGGAGAAGGATCCAGAGCAAGGGGAAAGGGGAGGTGGTCTATGGGGCTAGCTCAGTGGAGCTGCCCTGTGTCCAGTGCTAAGGAGTATTGTTGGGAACAGGCTAGAACTTGGAGTCAGCCTGTATTACAGGCCAAACTGTGAGTCATCGTGGGAGCCCCTAGGTGCAGTTGCTATGTAGATACCAGGAGCTGTAGGGAAGCTACAGAGAGTTATGTCAATCTCAGGATCTCACAGCCAGCAGGACTGCGGTACTAGGGGAAACAGCACCCAATACCATGGGGCTTACAACACACCTCTTTGCACAGACCTTCGGCTGTGATGGCAGGATGGACTCCCAGAAGGTTTGGGATGCATGCCAGGTGTGCGGAGGAGACAACAGCACATGCAGTTCACGGAACGGCTCTTTCACGGGTGGGAGAGCCAGAGGTAGGCCTGCCCTGCATGGAGGGCGGGTTTCCCAGAAGTCTGCAGGGCCCAGCATCCAAAATGTCCATCTGGGCTACTCAGGCCACAGCACTCACATGCTGGCTCAGCTCCAGGTGCCTTCCTGTGTGTTTCAGTTCATCCTTCCTTCTCCGATGTCTTCTCATGGCAGGCTCAGACTCCAGCACGGCCTCTACAACCATACCTGTGTAAACTCCCTCACTGTAGCTAGGAAGAGAGAGAAAAGAGAGAATAGCAGAGTCTGAATAATTGTCAGGTTACTTCTTCCTTCCCACTCAGGAGTCCCAGCAGGGAGGATACAGTGGACAACAGGGATATAAACTTGATTTTGGGTCTGGTCTGTGCTCCTGGCCTTGGCAATGTTCCTGCAGGCAGTCCTCCACCTGGTTTTGAGCTCTCGCCGTGATGAGCATTCCTTGTGCCACTGAAACCAGCCCTATGACACAGTTCACGTCTCTGTCCAGCTAGGATTCTTTGGCAGTGGTGTAGGTGACCATGAAGCCCCAGCAGCCCTCTTGCTCTCCTTATCCCTAGAATATGTCACATTCCTGACAGTTACTCCCAACATGACCAGCGTGCACATCGTGAACCGCAGGCCTCTCTTCACACACCTGGGTAAGACGATTGAAGGACCCTTCCCGTCACGGAGATGCCTTCACTCCTGACACCACTACAAGGCGGAAGGGACCCCCACCTACTCAGACCCCTTTGAGAGCTGCTGCACTGCACTCACAGCTGAGTTTATCCCGGGGGGGGGGGTGCAGGTTAAAATTGCCTGAAAAGGAATACGGAAGCTAAGCATGGAGGAGACCAGGCTTGACCGCTCCAGCTCCCAAGAACTGGTGCTTTCCAGCACCTGGGCATGACATAATCCCAGAAGATGACCATCCCAGGAATCTGGCCTTTTAAGACTCAGATCCTGGTCTATGAGACTGCTGCTTTGTCTCAGAGGCTAGCTTCTGACCTTAGACCCCGTGGAAGGGAGTTTGGCCCTGGGTCCTGGAGCCTGTAGCCTTATGTGAGCATATTCAGTAGAGGCAGAGGTCACAACCCTCACCAGCCTCCAGAAAAAGACATGGAGCCACCACTGTGGGAAAGTCTCCAGGGTGGGCTGTATGTGGCAGAGGTGTGCATTCCTAAGGAGGGGGTTGGTTAGTGAAGATGCCATCTGACTGAAACCCTAGAAGGGCCAGTTCCTTAGGGGCAGGTGTGGAACCTTGGGAGGAGCTAAGGCCACGGTTTGGGGATTAGACCCTGTTAGCAGAGACCCTCCTGCCCCTTGTCTTGTTGCCAACTTTAACCCTATCCTTTCAAGAGTGATCCTATCCCACTAAATAGACTGCTGGGCCTGTGAGGAGGGATGGTGACTACTCCATAGTCCTGATGGCCCTGTTCTCACAGCGGTGAGGGTCCAGGGACACTACATTGTGGCAGGGAAGACCAGCATCTCACCCAGCACCATGTACCCTTCCCTCCTGGAGGACTGCCGTGTGGAGTACAGAGTGACCCTCACTGAGGACCGGCTGCCCCACTTAGAGGACATTCACATCAGAGGACCTGTCCGGGAAGACATGGAGATCCAGGTCACCAATCAGCCAAGCTGAGGGGTGCAGGGTGGGAAGTCAGCAGGCCTCCAATGGTGGCTCTGAGTATCTGCCTGTGTGTCTGTAATTCATTCATTCTTTAATCCTTGCAGTAGAATTTGGGGACCTACTACAAGTAGAGCTCTGTGTAAGATTAAGTGCAGCAGGAGCCACTCACAGGATTAGAGCATTGCAAATCAGTGTAGAAATGTGCCTGTGTCCAGGGCACGTAGGAGACCTCCAAGGTCTGCGAGTGAGAGGGATTCCAGAGCGCTGGAGTCAGGGATTGCCCACCAACCAGGAAAGCATGGCTGAAGGACTGGCCGTGCGTGAGCAGTCCTCTGAGATGAGAAGTAGATCAAGTGAGGAGTCCCTGTTCCAGCTGGCATGTGGGTCCCTTCTTGGGACGGAGGGTATCTATTACATCTTCTTTGGGGGCAGAGGCACATGAGGCCCTGAAAGTTTTCATGTAGGGGTGTCCTCAAAGAAGTGCCTCATCTGTGTGCTCCCCCACCCCCATGTGCTCTGCTAAGGAAGGAATGTAAGAGTGGGCCAAAGCTAAAATGGCCTGAGCCTTCTTCACCTTCCATCCTGGCCTGGACCACTTCTGCTGGACCGCTGACACTATTCCTGACCTCCTTTTCTATAGGCTGCTCCCAGCCTCACCAACATTCCCACAGCATCCCACCCCAAAGCTACCACCTCCTTGGTACATACCTGTTCTGCTCTACGTTACTCAGAGTCCTTGACACTCAAGGTCTATCTGCCTCCTGGAGTCTAGAGAAATGGAGTCCTGGAAGGCTTTGGGGACAGGATGAGGCAGCAGAGACCCCAGGGTGTGCCAGTTCAGGGCCTGAGCTCTCACCTGTCCTGATGTAGGTGTACAGACGATACAGAGCAGAATATGGGGATCTTACACACCCAGACATCACCTTTACCTACTTTCAACCGAAGCAGCAGGCTGCTTGGGTATGGACTGCTATGCGTGGGCCCTGCTCAGTGAGCTGTGGGCCAGGTGAGGCCCGGGGCAAGGATTGCCTAAAGCTCTGCTGGACCTCATGTGGCGGTGGCTGAGTCTTTGCTCTGTCCTTCCAGGGCTGCGCTGGGTGACCTACAGCTGCCAGGATCAAGCTCAAAACAAGGAGGTGGACAGTACCCTGTGCCAAGGGAGCACACAGCCACTTGCACGGCAAGAGCCTTGTATCCCTGCCCCCTGTCCTCCATAGTAAGTACTAAGCTGGTCATCCACCTGGCTTATGGTGACTCTTGTGGCCTGGACAGACTGAAAAGGGATGTGTGTGTGTGTGTGTGTGTGTGTGTGTGTGTGTGTGTGTGTGTGTGTATGGTTTTTCAACTTTAGCTGCAACTCTGTGGGATGGACTCTGTGAGTGTCCACATTCTGAAAGTGAGGGCACCAAGACTTGAGCACACACAGTCACAGAGACAGTCTTGTGTGTGGTCACATCTGCTGCCACCTTGTCTGGGTGTCCTGAGGCCTCTCTGAGCTCAGGATCTCATTGCAAGGTGGTGGTGACCACCCTACCAGGGAGGGAAGGGCCAGCACATGGCCTCTACTGGCTTCTGCAACTGGTAACAGAATCGTGTTAGGGCAAGGCTATCTTTCTGGGCGTGGGACTAGGGAGGCCCCCAGTCGTCGCTATAAAATGCATGGCCTCAGGTTCAGAAGTATGTTAGGGGCCGTCTCTAAGACTGATCTTGGAACAGGAGCTTAGAAACACTGGACCAAAACAGTAGAAGTGTGTCACCAGGATCAGCAAGACAGACCTGCTTGCCTTCCATCCCATGCCACTGAGCCAATTGGGGCCCCTGGTCCCAGGCCTAATGTTCCATCCCTTTCCTCCTCAGCTGGACAGCTGGAGACTTCAGCCCTTGTAGTGTGTCCTGTGGTGGGGGTCTTCGGGAGCGACTAGTGCTCTGTGTGGAGGCCCAAGATGGTTTCTTAAGGACACTGCCGCCGAGCCGGTGCAAAGCAGTAGCCCAGCAGCCAGCAGCAGAGGTGGAAAATTGCAACTCCCAGCCCTGTCCCACCAGGTGAACATATTGAGGGGTGGTACAGCGGGGGTCCTTGCCAGGGTTTGTCCCTTCACTGAGACCCACCCTTGTAGAGGGTCCTGTCTTCCTGAGGGTGTGAATAGTTCCATCCTGGTGACAGATGGTGGTGCCTGACCTGTGAATATCAGCTTCCTCACTATTCAAGAGGTGCTGGGCTGCTCATCTCCGTCTTTGAATTTCTAACACCTGGATGAGGGCTGTGATGATGGCTTGACACTGTGAATGTAAAGCTCATACCATCAGTCATCATCATCGCCTCCCCTGCAATGACCACGTGGCTGTCTTATATCCTCCATGTCCAAACTGATCCTGGCTTATTGGTCTGCCTATCACCAACAGACTGGATGGCCAGCATGAGTCCCCTCCTTTTTTTGGCCTCAGCCTTGCTATCTGTCCAATGGGAGAGCCTAGATTATTGGTGGCCTACCCACAGCCCTGGCTCCTTCCTCTTCTCTCACACATGGCCAGCATTGCACTCCTACACTTACTTACTATCTTAGGATTTTCATGCTGTGAAGAGACACTGTGACCACATCAACTCTTATAAAGGAAAAATATTTAATAGGGACTGACTTACAGTTTCAGAGGTTTAGTCTGTTGTCATCACGGCGGGAAGCACGGCAGCGTGCAGGCAGACATGGTGCTGGAGAAGGAGCTGAGAGTCCTACATCTTCATCCACAGGCAACAGGAAGTGAACTGTGACACTGGGTGTAGCTTGAGCATAGGAGACCTCAAAGCCCACCTCCACAGTGACACACTTCCTCCAACAAGGCCACACCTCCTAATAGTGCCACTCCCTTTAGGCCAAGCATTCAAACACATGAGTCTATGGGGACCATTCCTATTCAAACCACCACTACAGAGGTATGATCCAGCCTTAGCATCCTTGGCATCATGTGCTCTAGGCAGCCTCCGTGCATGCAGCGGTGGCATACAGTGAACCATTAGTCACCCCTGGTGCTGAGAATGCACAGGACACCTGTTTGTTTCTCATCCTCTGCAACCAGGCACGAAGCGTGTTGTTGTTGGGTTGCGGGGAGGATACCATTGCTTCTGCCTTCCCACCCCATAGCCACAGGTGGAGTGTGTAGCTGGCATGCATAAAGTTATTTTCTAATCTTTAAACTGCAGCTGTGCGTGTGTGCGTGTGTGTGCATGTGTACGTGCACATGTGTGAGTGAGTCATGGTTCAAGAGGACCATGGTCAGAGGACAACTAGCAGCCAGTTTTCTCCTTCCACCTTACGGGACCCTGGGGTCAGCCTGTCTGGGCGGAGGCAGATGTCTTTGCCCGATGAGCTATCTCACTGTCCCAACACACAGAGTTCTTGTTGAGGAAAACATGAGGTGTGATGAGCCAGTGTTTCAGATACAGCTCCTGATCTTTGCTTCTTAATGGGGGTCTATGTATTGGGATCCTAGATACACCCTCCACCCACCCTTGGGAGTTAGGTTGCACCTCCCCCTAGGCAGCAGAGGCACGGCCTGATGACAGCCATGTGTTATCTTTAGACCAGAGGTATCAGACCCTAGCCCTTGCGTGACTGCCTGTGAAGATCTGGCCTCAAGAAATGTGACGTGTGTGCCCACGGTGGGTGACCTGGAGGACCCAGCAACTGCTGGTCCTTGTCTCACAGATGAGATGCCACCCACGCTGGAGCCCTGTTTCAGGACTACATGCTCTCCAGGCTGGGGTCAGGTGAGTGGATCCAGAAGGAGGGTGGCCAGGACTTCTGGGTCCTTTCTTAGCTGGAGAATAAAAAATACAGGTTGTCATCTTCCTGCAGGCCAGACTCTTTCCTTTTCGGGGTGCTGTTTGAGGGACACCCCATCAGAGGACACACTTAGAGTGCCTCTGAAAGGGGCAAGTCAGGCTGAGAGAAAATAGAGCCTGTTAGAAACAGCTGAGTGGAAACTGTTCTGTTGTTGCTGAGTGCTGTGAACCTAAACCACGGCCAAGAGCATGCTAGGAAAACGCTCTATCACTGAGCTGTAGCCTTGGTCCTTTTCTTCATATATTTTAAATTTTGAGACTGTGTCTCACAAAATTGATCATGTTGGCCTTGAACTCTGTCTACAGCCCCCCATAGTCACTGAACCTTTCAATCCTCCTGCCTAGGCCTCCCAAGTTGTTGGGATCACAGGCATGTGTCACTAAGCACAGCAAGGGAAGAGTTCCTCCAGTGGCTATGGGAGTAATTCTTCCATCTCTTCTCCACCACTCAGGACCTTCAGGCTGAGATGTTGCTCTCAGACTGGAAGGCCCTGGGCCCTTATGAGCTAGGTACTGCAGGACCAAGCATGCTTGCAAATCCACTCCTGCTCCTTAGTCTCCAGCCCCGTCCAACAGAGAATGCTTGGAACGATAAGGAGCCTGCACAGGCCGAAGAGAAGGCTTCACCAGGGGCAGGACACAGGCCTCCCTAGAGAACAGGAGGGAGGGAGCCCTGGTGTGTTTGGACTATTCCCTCTTCCCTCCTAAAAAAAAAAAGGGAGAGGAACTCAGAGACGGACATGAGAATGCCAGACTCACCCGCTCACTGCTCTCGTTAGCCGGACACCACGTCTCTGGGAAAGGAGGCTCCAAGGCCTGTGGGCAGTGACCAGCCAAGGGTTCAGGCTGCACACGTGTGGACTCCTGTGACGGGCCTGTGCTCCACCTCTTGTGGGCGAGGTGAGACCCTGAGGACATTCGTGAAACCTTCTCTTTTACTTCCTATCTACCCCGCCTAGACCAGTGCTGAAGGAGGGGGCTGCCAAGAAAGCCAAACTATGTGAGTATGGCACTCAGTAGTCCTCTAAACGGGTTTCATGCCTGACTGACATATAAAGATAAATCCTACAAAGACTGGTGCCCAAGAGTCCCTAAGTCCCACAGAGCTGTGTGCGAATCGGCCACCAAAGCTGAAAATAGTCAGATTAAAGGTACATTTTCTAAAAATAAGGTGTTGCTCTTAAACTAAATTTCAATCTTACAATTTTACCGATAAAGACTCGGGAGTCTGATGCTAGCTTGAAAACCTGCTATCTCAGAGAGGCCAACATCCCAGAAAAGAGAGCTCTTCTACTGCCCCAAGCCATAAAGGCCGTCAAACTCAAAAGTCCCTCCCTACTACTATTTTCTCCACAGTAAGTCCCCCTCCTACTTTTATACCTTTTTGCTTTTGTTTGTTTGTGGCCACTGCATTTTTTTTTTGTTTGCTTTTTGGGACAAGTTTTCTCTGTGTAACAGCTCTGGCTGTCCTTACTTTGTAGACCAGGCTGACCTTGAACTCAACAGATCTGACTGCATCTGCCTCCCAAGTGCTGGGATTAAAGGCATGTGCCACCACTGCCTGGCTGTGGCCACTGAATTTAAGTGGGATTGCTTACATGAAACACAGCAATTTCCACTATGCTTCGCCACAATAACAACAGCAGCTTCAGGCACCAAGTACCTCACACCTTTCATTATTCAGTCTCTATCAATGATTCTGCTAGGTAGATACTATTATATGTAAACCAGAGGATCAGAGAGGTTAAGTCATTTGTCCGAGTGCACATAGCTGATAAGTAGCAGCTGGACCTTGGCTTTAGAGCTGAGCAGGGAACAAACGCTGTGGTCCTTGCCAAGCTGCCCTAGTGACTGGGTCAACGACATCCCTGCTTCTTCCGGGCAGGTCGGATGGAGCTGCATTTCCTGTGCATGGATTCTGTCCTCAAGATGCCTGTCCAGGAAGAGCTATGTGACTTGGCCAGCAAGCCCTCGAGCCGGTGGGAGATCTGCCGGGCTGGCCCATGCCCTGCTCGGTGAGTTGGAGGAAGAGTGCAGGGAAAGGAGTCTGACCCCAGAGTTGGTCTCCTATGAAGCCTTGGCCTTCTCCATCAGGTGGGACACTCAAGTCTTGGCACCGTGCCCGGTGACCTGTGGAGGGGGAACTGTGCCACTGGCTGTTCACTGCGTGCAAATGGGCCATGGCCGACCTGTGTTTCTACCTCACTCCAATTGCTGGCCAATGCCTAGGCCATTCCCCTTCCAGGACTGCAACCCTGAGCCCTGTCCTGCAAGGTGAGCCCTTGCCTGGGCGACAGGCAGCCCTGCATTTGCATTCAGCTCTGCTGCCACCGTCAGAGGTGGGGTCTGGGATGGTGATGATGCAGGCACATTTTTTAGATCTATTTATTTAATTTTTATGAGACAGAATCTCACTATGTGGCTCTGGCTGGCCCAGAGTTTGCTATGTAGATCAGGCTGGCCTGGAACTCACGGAGTGTGTGCCATCACTCCTGGCCCCCCTTTTTTGTTTTTGTTTTTAAATACTGGGTCTTTGTACATCTAGGCAAGCCTCTGTCACTGAGCTTTATTCACAGGCTCCCTTCTACCTTTATGCCAAGACAGGGTCTCGCTAAGCTGCTTGCTAACTTCGTTATGTATTCCTAGTAGACCTTTAACTTGTGACCCTTCTGCTTCAGCTTCCCAAGACTTGCATTAGCTGGCCCAGTCAGACGCATATGCTTATGGACCATTTATTCACTGCCCATTCTTTACTGAACACCTGCTGTGCCCAGGTGCTACCTGCAGCCAAAGGACACAACAATGACTAAGTTGAAAGATGTCTTGGCCCTCCCGGATCTGACATTGGGGGCGATGGACAATGAATAAGACAGTGTAATGAGCAGTGTCTGGGGCAACAGAGCTAACCACGTTGGGTAGGAAAGTTGGCAGGGCTGGCAGCAGGCTCTAGGGTGAGGCCGGTGCTAGGATTTCCATTACAGGCACACACCTTTGCAGGTTCCTTATGATTCCATGACTTTACCCTTCCTGTCTTTTGGAGCCAGCTTCGGTTTACCCTCGGCTTCCCCTTCTGAGAAGTGGGTTGGTTTCAATGTTCCGTCCACTGTACTGAGCCTCCTGGTGGGGCAGAAGCTCTCCATGCCCTTCCTAGCCTATTTCTTCCCATTGGAGAAATGAGGGGAAGGTGTGTTGCCCTTTGGGCCCCGCTGACTTCAGTTTTTTTTCCCCAGGTGGCGCTATAAGCTGGCAGCCTGCAGTGTGAGCTGTGGGGGTGGGCTTGCACGGAGAATCCTGTACTGTGCCCGGGCTCACGGGGAGGATAATGACGAGGAGATCCTGCCTGACATCCGGTGCCAGGGGTTGCCTCGCCCTGAGTCCCATGAGGCCTGCAGCCCAGAGCCCTGTCCTCCCAGGTGAGGGGGTGGGGTGGTGGAAGTGCATGCCTGGTGCACAGACTCCAGACGGGACCCCTGGAGAGTTCAAGGACAAGCAGTAGTTCAGAGACACTGTAGAAAAACAGGGCTGCTTGGCAGGCCATGCTGGATGTGGGAGTTGGGGTTTAAGTATAATGACGGGTGGGTTGTCAGTCTACAGGCACACTGTGGGGAGGCCTGCAGGGATGTGTATGGGAAGGCAGGGATGCCATTCCCAGCAGAAATGGAAGAGCTACCACCGCAGCCCATCAGACTTCCTAGGTTGTTTGACTTTTCCTTCTGTATATGTAATGATTTAAAATTTTGTAGCTTAGAATCTACTTGATACACACAGAACATGTGCCTTGTCCTCTTTGCTTTAGCTGAAGTTTTCAGTCTGTGTGCCTGTTTTTTTTTTCTGCATGTCATGTTTATAAATGATCTAGGGTTTTGTTTTGTTTTTTTTTTGGGACAGGGTTTCTCTGTGGCTTTGGAGGCTGTCCTGGAACTAGCTCTGTAGACCAGGCTGGCCTTGAACTCACAGAAATTCGCCTGCCTCTGCCTCCCAAGTGCTGGGATTAAAGGCATGTGCCACCAACGCCCGGCTTGTTTTGTTTTTTATACAGTGTCTTATGTAGTCCAGGCTAGCATCATACTCTTTATGTAGTTGAAGATAGCCTTGAGTTCTTGAACCTCAGGCCTTTACTCCCAAGTGTTGGGATTGTAGGCATGTGCCACCACACCCAACTAAATCAATCTTTCTTTCTTCCTTTCTTTCTCTCTTTATTTCCTTCCTCCTTTCTTTCTTCTTTGTCTTTTTAATGGGATCAGCATGCACACATGAGTTCTGGTTACTACTGGCGTGTTATGTGGCCGCCCTATACTCAGCACTGGTCTGTCTATGGTCTCTCTTCTTTCTAGAGCCCTAGTTTCTCAGCCAGGCATGACTCTATTTCAAAAAGCACATAGGCAACTTTGGTTTGATGGTCACAATTAGGGACATTTGCTATTGGCTCCTAGTAGGCAGAGTCATGCCTGTCTGGCAGTGCACAAGCAGTCTCCCCGCCAGGACAAAGGGCCATTCAGGATCAGATGCCAGTGGTGGCAAGGTGTAGGTCACACACCTCTGAGGTGGCATTTTGGTCTGGCCCATACCACCGCCCTGGGTCCCAGGGTTCCAGAGCAGCACTGGGCCAACCAATGACAAGGACACGAGAGGCAACACTGCAGCTCCTGAGATCTGTAAAAAGTAAAAACTGTGGCCAGATAGGCATTTCAGTGGCCAGGGAATGTGCACAGACCATTGTTGAAGGAGCTGAGGGTCCCTCAAGAGTCCCCCACAAGTGACCTGGCCTTTGCAAAGGTCTGGCTGTCATTGGCATTTTTCTCTTCCTGCAGATGGAAAATCCTGTCCCTCAGCCCATGCTCAGCCAGCTGCGGCCTTGGCACTGCCACACGAATGGTGGCCTGCATGCAGCTTGACCGAGGCAATGACACCGAAGTGGACGGAACTTTCTGTAAGGCTCTGGCACGGCCCCAGGCCACTGTCCCCTGCCTCATCACCGACTGTGCCTACCGGTGGCACATCAGCACATGGACAGAGGTAAGGGCAGTCAGATACCAGGGGTTCTGGATGGGGGCTAAGGAAAGCATCTGCAAGAGGTGTTTGTGCATGAGGGGGCCTGTGGTCCTGATTCACTATGACCCTTGGAAGGAGGGGAGAGTCTGCCGTGGTGTCCACTCAGAGCCAGGGACACAGCATGAACACCCTGACAGTTGAACTGCAAGAAGCCTGGGATCTGCAGATACTAGAAACCTCACTACGGTAGAGATCAGTGTCATCTTGTGACAACCACCTAGCAAATCACTGGAGAGACCAAGGGGGTGGAGCTCAGTTCCTGGGGGAGGAGCTCACTCATGGTGGTAGACAGCACAGAGACAGAACAGATAGGACAGTCCTCGGGGGCCTGCTCCCCACTCACCTAACCTCGGTCGGAAGGAATATGGATATCAGATGAAGACAGAACCTGCAGGAGAGCAGGACAGACACTGTTCCGCAGGGTCGAATACAGAAGGTCACTCTGGTTCCCTTCTTTAAAGCTCTGAGGGACAAAGAGGCCGATACAGCCATGGGTGGACACCGAGACCAGAATCTCAGGGCTTGTACCGTGAGCCCCCACAAAGGCACCCCTTTAGCTGCAGTCTCCTCACCTGTAAAGCAGAGATACCTGCCACCCTCCAGTATGTGAAGGGATGACATCATATCGCATCGTCCTGTGGTCAGTCTGTCTTGCCCCTCTTTGAGAGGGTCACCATGATATTCCACTTCTTTCTTGACAGTGCTCTGTTTCCTGTGGGGATGGCATCCAGCGCCGGCATGACACCTGCCTTGGACCCCAGGCCCAAGTGCCTGTGCCGGCCAGCTTCTGCCAGCACCTACCCAAGCCAGTGACAGTGAGGGGCTGCTGGGCTGGACCCTGTGCGGGACAGGAGATCCCCAGCTCACTGGCCCGGAAGGAAGCTACTCTTCCCAGCCAGACCCAGGCTGCTGTTACTGTTGCTTCTCTGGAGTGGTCCCAGCCTCAAGCCCACACCCTCTTCCCAGCCTCCCTGTCTCCGGGGATCCAGGAAAGCCTGGAGGAATCTGGTTAGGTTTCTTCCTGCTTCCTGTTGGGGAGGTTGGCATCTCGACCTGGGCCTGCCTGGGCAAGCACTCAGGCACTAGACCACATGCCTTTGGGCTCAGGGCCTCCTTCCCATCTGGCAAAAGGAAGCCACACTTTTCATGTGTGTGTGTGTGTGTGTGTGTGTGTGTGTGTGTGTGTGTGTATGTGTGTGTGTATGTGTGTGTGTATGTGTGTGTGTGTGTGTGTATAGACCAGAGGACAATTTTGGGTGTCATTCCTCAGGATCTGTCTATATTTTTTTAGACAGGGTCTCTCATCGGCTTGGAGCTTGCCCAAATAAGTTAGGCTGGCTGGCTGAGCCCCAGGGATCTACCTGTCTCTGCCTCCCCAGAGCTGGGACTAAAGGCACCTTCATACCCGCCTTTTAAAATGTAGGTTCTGGGGACTGAACTCAGGTCCCTATGCTTTCAAGAAAACACTTTACTGACTGGGCCATCTTTCCAGTTCAGAAGCCACACTTTTACTTCTGTCCCCTTCAAGTAACCTGAAGGTTGTAAGGTCAGGAGTTGAGGTCCATGGAGTCCCATGCCCACACACCACACCGCCTCCCTTTCCTTGAAGCACAGAGAAGTGACCTAGCGCCTTGGATGGTGACTAATGCTCTGACTTACAGCCACCTGCTCACCTTTGCCAGCCTTACCTGTCAGCCCTGCTCTGCTCTGCTCACCTCACGCCTCCTGCGCCCCCTGTAGGTGCCTGCGGAAGGCAGTACCTGGAGCCCACAGGAACAATTGACATGCGAGGGCGAGGGCAGGAAGACTGCGTGGTGGCCATTGGGCGGCCTCTAGGTGAAGTGGTGACCCTCCAAGTCCTCCAGAGCACCCTCGAGTGTAGCGCAGGTACATCCCGAGACAGGTGGGCAGCTGCTGAGCTTCGGGGCCTGGGGCACCTCCAGTGTATCCCCATTTCTGACAGGATGCCCCTACTTGGCATTTTAAAGGCTGTTTCATGACTGGAGTGTGGTGATCTCCATTTATACAATAGGAACCTGGGGGGATGAGAGCTTTGGTGACATGCCCCCTGCTTAGTCACATTATCCAGTGAGAGGGAGAGTGGTTAGTTGAACTCAGCCCTGAGCCACTGCTGCTGACCAGGAGTGGGGGTACTGGCTCCTCACTGCCCTGCCCTGCCCTTTCTAGGGGAGCTGTTGCTGCTTTGGGGTAGATTCACATGGAGGAAGACATGCTGGAAGATGTCTGGCATGACATTCGTCACCAAAACCAACACGGTGGTGGTGCGGCAGCGTCGTGTGCTGCCGGGCAGAAGAGGGGTGTTGCTACAGTACTGGAGTCAGCCTGCCCCAGGGACTGTCTACAGAGGTACGGCCAGGGCCTGGGCCTCCCCACCTTCTCACTGGGTGCTTATGCCTGTGTCTCTGTGGACAGGGCATTTTCAACAGGAGAGAGCTGGCCAGGATGGGGTCCCTGGGTGGGTGCAGATGTGTCCCTGTCCCATCCTTCACAGCACTGCCCCATTCCCTTGACCTTGGTTCTCAGGTCTTTGCAGGTCCTCTCAGGTCTGTGAACCACTTTCCCCCAGCCTGCTTCTGGTGGCTTGTATGCGTACGCTAGCATTCACAAATAAGGTGCCCGCACTCCATACTCTTCAGACAGAGGGCATCTCATGGACTACTGCTTTACCCAGAGCCCAGACAGTTCTCTAAGAGCCTCCTTCACCTCATGGGTTTGATGGAGAAGTCTTTTACCTTGCTGATTCCAGACGATTCTGCATGGCCCAGGCTTCCTGTGAAAGTGGTGCGACAGGGGCAGTAACTCTGCAAAGGAGGTTGTCTGTCTGTCTGTTTGTTTTTCTTCAGTTTTTCAAGACAGGGTTTCTCTGTAGCTCTGGAGGCTGTCCTGAAAATCACTCTGTAGACCAGGCTGGCCTCGAACTCACAGAGATCCTCCTGTCCCTGCCTCCCGAGCGCTGGGATTAAAGGCATGCACCACCACAGCCCAGCCTCTGCAGAGGTTTAATGTGTCACCCTTTTCCACAGCTGCTGTGCTGGTGGCTAAGTGCGCAGGTGCTGCGGGGTCCTGCTGGGAAGGCCACCGGCTTCACTCACATCGCTTCTCACTTCTCACATGAAGACAGTGTGCCTTAAAGGGGGGGGGCTTCCTTTGGAACACTGATGATAGCAGCGGACAGCAAAACTGAAACCCAGCTTTTCTGCCAGTTTTGTATTTTAAGTAATTTGTAGCACAAGTTCATTGAATTCTCTTTTTTTGTTTTTTTGAGACGGGGTTTCTCTGTGGCTTTGGAGGATGTCCTGGAACTAGCTCTTATAGACCAGGCTGGTCTTGAACTAACAGAGATCCACCTGCCTCCGCCTCCTGAGTGCTGGGATTAAAGGCGTGTGCCACCACCGCTGGGCCCTCTCTCTCTCTCTTTCTCTCTCTCTAAGATATTATGTATAGTGTTCTTTTTGCATGTACGTCTGCAGGCCAGAGAGGGCATCAGATCTCATTACAGATGGTTGTGAGCCACCCTGTGGAACTCAGGACCTCTGGAAGAGCAGTCAATGCTCTTAACCTCTGAGCCATCTCTCCGAACCCCACTGAATCCTCTTCTAAAATCCCCTGCCCAAAGCATGCCACTGCTCCCTTCCCACAGCAGAGGAAACCAAACCTTGGAGCCTTTCAGTTCCCTTAAAAAGTATTTTCTTTATTGTGACTGTGTGTGTATGATGTGTGTGTGGGCCTGTGCATGGTGTGGGTGTGGAAGACGGGGAGACTCCATGGAGTCAGTTTTCTCCTTGCTTTATGTGGGTTCCTGTGGTTCAACAGGGTGTCAGGGTTGTGCAGAAAGAACCAAATTTTTACCCACTGAGCCAACTCATCAGCCCTCCTTTCCCTTAAAAAATTAGAGTGTGTGTGTGTGTGTTTGTATGTGTGTGTGTATGTGTGTGTGAGTGTGTGTATATGTGTGTATGCGTGAGTGTGTATGTGTGTGTCTATGTGTGTGTGTCTGTGTGTGAGTGTATGTGTCTGTGTATGTATGTGTATGTGAGTGTGTGTGTGTCTGTGTATGTATGTGTATGTGAGTGTGTGTGTCTGTGTATGTATGTGTATGTGAGTGTGTGTGTATGTGTGTGAGTGTGTGTCTGTGTATGTATGTGTATGTGTGTGTGAGTGTGTGTGTATGTGTATGTGAGTGTGTGTCTGTGTATGTAGGTGTATGTGAGTGTGAGTGTGTGTATATATGTGTATGTGTATGTGAGTGTGTGTGTATGTATGTGTATGTGAGTGAGTCTGTGTATGTATGTGTGTGAGTGTGTGTGTCTGTGTATGTATGTGTATGTGAGTGTGTGTGTCTGTGTGTGAGTGTGTGTCTGTGTATGTATGTGTATGTGAGTGTGTGTCTGTGTATGTGCGTGTATGTGAGTGTGCGTGTATGTATGCGTATGTGAGTGTGTGTCTGTGTATGTGTGTGTATGTGAGTGTGTGCGTGTATGTATATGTATGTGAGTGTGTGTCTGTGTATGTGTGTATGTGAGTGTGTGCGTGTATGTATGTGTATGTGAGTGTGTGTGTGTGTGTGTGTGTGTTGTGGGGCAGGGGGCAGTGTCAGAAGTTCTGTTCCACCGTGTGTGTCCCCGCAATCACACTCACGTTGTCGGGACTGCACAAAGCCCTTCACCTGCCGATCCATCCTCACCTGCCCCTCTAGGATCACCGCCTGGAACCAATCTATTAGAAGTGGTCAGAGTGAAGGCTCAGCAGCGGGGACAGTCTGCCAGGGACCATCCTGGTATCAGTAGTGTCCCCGAGGTGGCCCACAGCCAGTCAATCCTCTTGTTCTTGCCTGCAGAATGTGACAGGCAGCTCTTTGGACCTCGGGGTGAAATTGTGAGTCCCCCACGGAGCCCAGATGGGAGGAGTGCGAGGAGCTGCCGGGTGTTCATCAGCGTGGCTCCGCAGGCCCGCATTGCCATCCGTGCCCTGGCCAGTGACGTGGGCACCGCCTGTAAGGGGACCAATACCAACTATGTCTCGGTGAGGTCACCAGGACGGGGTAGAGATGGGGTGGCTTTTCATGTTTCTGGAGGGCTGTCTCTAGGAAGGGGAATGGGGTGCTGGGTTTAGGGAACCCTTTCGGTTTATTTCTCACCCAAACTTCAAAATTGTTTGCAAGAGTAGGAAGGAGGGTTTCTGCCACTAACTCACCAGCAAGTGCTTGTTGCTCTGCCTGCAAGAAGAGGGAAACCCTTTTCTGGGGGTAGATTGCCTATTGACCCAGAGTGGAAGCATCGTGTTCATGTCTGGTTTGTTTGTTTGCTTGTTTCAGAAGAGCATAGGGAGAGTTGAGGGTTTGTATGCTCCACAAGACATCAGATCACCCCAGAATCAGGAATCAGCAGCATTCCAGCTCTGGCACCTGGCTGTGTGTCCTGGGGAAGGGGCCCAAAGTCTCTGAGCTTCAGTTTCTTGGAGAGAACTTTGTCCCTCATGGGAGCTCCCGTGAGAATCAGACATGATTCTAAGCAGCCAGGAGTCTGTAAATTCTACACAAGGATCACTCATGGCCTGGTCTGGCTACTTGCTTCTCCAGATCAGGGATATCCACAGTCTGAGGACCACAACATTTCGGGGGCAGCAGATGCTCTACTGGGAGTCGGAAGGCAGCGAGGCGGAACTGGAGTTTAGCCCTGGTTTCCTGGAGGCGCATGCTAGCCTCCAGGGTCAGTACTGGACCATCCCACTGAGGACACCAGAACAGGACAACAGCCTGGTTCTGTCCTAAATTTCTCTTCAACTGCCCGAAAGGAAGGCAACCCTACACTTAAGTGGCCAGCCCTGGAGGGTGCAACACTAGCCTCTTGGGAGGTTCTGACGCCTGCCAGTCTTAGGGAACCTCTTTTAGGGACCTTTTCCAGGTGCAGAAGGGCTGGGGTTGGGAGGTAAAGATGGGAAAAGCAGTCCCAGCTTCAGTTGCTAATAAAGGATACAGTAAACCTAACTGGCGTTTTCCTCCCATAACCTGCCCTAACTGGGCTTGAAAGCTCATTCTACTGCAAGGCGAGGTTTCCTGGACGTCTAAGGAGGGCCTTCGCCAATTCTAGACGAAGTGTTTCAACCTTGTTAAGAAAAAAGGCCAGTCCGAACCAGGCGCACCTGCTGGAAAGCTTAACGAATTGTAAACACGCCCCTTATGCTAATTTACACCAGTCCCGGGCCCACCCTCCCGCACCCCGCTACTGGCCTGTGGGTCCGCCCCTATGCTAATCACCGCCTCTCCCACAAGGCCGCGCGCGCGGGTGGACACGTCCCTTTGTGCGCGCCTGGGGCTGTGCGCAGCTTAGTGTCCCAGCAGCATGAGCGGCTTGGGCGCAGCCGGTGCGGCCGCCGGCCCTGCCCCGCCGGCACAGGAGGAGGGCATGACATGGTGGTACCGCTGGCTGTGCCGTCTGGCCGGCGTGCTGGGGGCCGTGTGTGAGTACCGCGGCTGGGGAGCGGGCGTCCCCGGGGTTGCCATGGCTCCTGGCCTCGGGCCTGCGTTCTGCCACTCGGAGTGCGGTGGTCGGAGGCCGAGCCGACCTGGCCGTGTCCAGGGGAGCCGAGACTCGGGGGAAGGGGGAGAAGACTCGCGTCTTTCTCTTCCTGATCCTCCTCGGCCTGGCGATGCTCTCCTGGGCTGGGGTGGGACTATCGAATTCCCAGCCTTTGGGCAAAGCTTGTTCATACGTGGGGGCGGGGGCAGGTCGCCACAGGCTGGGAAGTTTGCTTGAGAGTCAGAAGGTGCCAGGGGGTAGATGGGTCCCTCAGGATGGCTGGGCAGGGAGTGGGGGACAGGCAGCTTCTCTTCGGTTTCTCACTGTCTATTTAGACTCCGGTTCTTTAGCGTCCACACTCTTCCTGATGCTTCTTACTGGCCCGGTGTCTTCCACACCAGTCCCTGGTTCACACCCCCTGAGCTTAGGACCCAGAGAGCTCCAAAAGGATAAAAGAGAAAGGCAGGTCCGCTTCTTATGTGCAGCTGTGTTGCTGGCCTTCCAAACCAGACCTTTGAACCGAATGTGTTTCCTAAATCCTGTCTGTCCCTTTCATTGTGAATTCCTAGAAGCCCAGGGGGAATGCTGGTCTCAGGAAAGGAAGGTCCGAGGATCCCATTGCCTACCTGGTGCAGGAGCAGAAACTGTGTGGGTAGGGCAGACCCATCTGCTCTCCTGCCTGAAGGAGTACCTTGAAGCTCATCTGTGCAGAGGATCCAGCTGGAAGTTCAGGTGGATAGGGTGGGGTTAGGTATGGGCTGCCCTGGTAAGGCAGCTCCGAAGGGAATTTGCTGAGGTCGAGTTCAAATCCTCTTCAGTGCAGTTAGCTATTTCAAGGTGGTATTAAGGGGTTCAAGAGCGAGGAAGATCCTGACCATGACCTGCATGCCTTCACCCTCCCTCCTTCTTGGTGATCCCAGGTGGCTTCTAGATTGACTTTGTATAACGACATCTCCCTTTTATGGAGGACATAGCAGTAGCACTCCAAGTGGTTGGATTTGAGCCCTTGGTTGTCAGAGGACTTCTGTTTATCTGGGTTGTGACCTGGTCCTCCCCAAGGCTGGCTGTGTAGGGAAGCCTGGGTGGAGTGGAGCCGTAGATGGGATGCTAATGGCAGCAGTGCAGGCCCCTCAGGTGAGGCCAGGCCCAGCTGCACACAGGCAGGAGGTAGGTAGTTCCTCACTCCTGTGGCCCTGGACGCCTTGCTGCCAGAGCTCCACGTGGATGAGTGCTGTTTTGAGTTCTGTGTGAGAGGAGGAGGCTTTATGGCTTAGGAGCTGTGCCATCCAGAGTCGGTCATTTGGTCCATTCTCCTGCATCAGCTTCCATTTGCATAGTGTAACACAGGAAAGAGGCGTTCCACTGGAATTCCAGGCCCAGTGGAAGGATCAGGTGCCATGGGCTTGCTGCAAGTTTAATGAGTTGGTTGCTAATTGCAGCCTCAGAGGGCCAACCCTCTGCCCCTCCCTGGCAACAACCTGGGCTTGTGTCCGGCCTGGTTGGGCAGCTCCCAGGAATGTCCTTAGAGGCTCCCAGAGTTCCTGGTGAGGGACTTCCTGGTGAAGCCAGCTGCCGGCTCTGAGTGGGTGTGGCAGACTGCGTCCCTGAGGTGCAGTCATAGGAGAGGAGCCTCAGGCTCCACACTGGAGTGGAGTTATGGGAAAAAGAGGACACTGTCCCCTCATGGTGTTGTGCTATTCTGTCGGGACACAACATGCCCATGTGTAGGAGAGAAAATGAGTTTAGAAGGCTACGTGCCCAGGGTCACTTGGCTGGTGTTTTAGATGCGGGACCAACATTTGGATCTTACCTGGTGCCCATCAGTGTATTATGAGAGGCATCCCTGTCCTGACCCAAATTCAAGCTGTAGCCAGACACAGTGGCATATATCTGTAATCCCAGCCCCCAGGAGACTGAGGAAGCAGGATAGTGTTTGAGGTCAGCTTGGGCTACAGAGTAGGAATCTGTCTCAAAGGAAAAACAGCAGCAGCAGCAGCAGCAACAACAAAACCCAAAAAAAGTCTCTGTCCCTAAGGGGGATAAAAAGCACCCAAAACCCTAACCAAGCAAGCATAAGCAGCAACAAGCAGCTCAGGTCTGAGACGGCTTCCTGAGTAGCCTGCTTTGTGGATGACGGTAGAAACCTTGCTAAGGTTCTTGTTGAAGGCAGAGCAGGCCTGACCTCTTGAGGAAATTTTGATGATAGCTGGGAACCAAGGGCTGACCCACCAGAGCCTTAGGTTTGAGAAGGGTGTTGCTTTACCATCCCCTAAGTGTGAAAGTAGCTAGGTTTGAGGTTCAGAAACAGGCTTATTGAGTCTCTCAGCTGTCTCAGGTGATGGCGGGTTGCTGAGGGAAGCCCCAGTGCTAGGCATCTGAAGGGAGCCCCGTGAGTTCTCAGCGTCTGCCCAGACAGCCTTCTGCAAGCTGTGCCCCATACCCCACTAACCCTGCCCGTGTCTTTTGCTTTGAAGCCTGCGCCATCTCTGGACTCTTCAACTGTGTCACCATCCACCCTCTGAATATCGCAGCTGGTGTGTGGATGATGTGAGTAGCCGTGAACAGCCTGCCCTGGTGGGGTTTGAGGTCTGTGATGCAGGGCTCATCCCCCTTCCTGCTCCCACCACATTTAGGTTTCCTCATAATGGGCCAGTGGGCCAGCCGGCTGAGCCTTTATGGGGTACAAGGTCACAGAGTTGCTGAGCGTCTACCTAGCTAGACATTGTAGACTCCTTGTGGACTACAATGGGCCGTTGCCTCTGGGAGCTCCAGAGCCATGCTGTGTAAGGTCAGAGTTGAGGGTCTACGAGGAGAGAAGAGGGTGGTCATCTGGGAGGCGGTGAGCAGGGCTAGTTAGGGGGGCAGATGCAGATGGAACTAGTGGCTGTAGCATCCATAGGCGAGCTCCTTATCACCCTCTTCCTGGCAGCTGGATCCCAGGGAAAGGGGCGCCAGAGTAAGGGCTGCTCAAGGCATATGGGAAAGCTCTGTGCATTAGCATTTGTCAGTGCCTACAAGGGGCTACACAGTCATTTGGGGCAAGGCACAGGCCCTGTCTTAGGCCTCAGGCCAGGATGATTTGGTCTTGTGGTGATGTGTGCAGAGGCCTGCGCTAGTCCACGGTGGCAAGGATGGGGACTGTAGAGGTTGTGTACAGACTGGTGGGACAGTGAGCTGGTTTTGGAAGACTGGTGGCCGTGGTAGGTGGGGAGGTAGGCAGTGGTCTAGAGTTACAAGAGCTGTATCTGTGACGCAGACTGTCATAGGCACTTCCCTTCCAAATGTGTGGCCTGGCAAAGGCCCAGTTGTCTGGTCATGACCATTACCCACCTATTCGAGCAAAGACTTTCAGCTTAGCTGCTCCCAGCAGCTGGGCAAGGATTGAAGGCTCCTGAGTGGAAGCTCCAGGCATGGGCTGCCCACTATCGTGCATCTTATCTGCCTGGCCCACATGGTTTCAGGCCTTAGGTCATGAGTGGTCCTTAGCAACTGGGTGCAGCCAGCCCTTGCACTTCTGCTGGGGGCATCCTGCCCTCAATGGCAGTGTTGGGACTATGATGATACTACTAACAATTGGCATTGTGACTAAGTTCTGTGGGTGAACATGCTGTTAGCTCAAGATACCATCGAGGTGCAAGGGTCTTAGCTCTTCATTTCAGAGTTGGCGGGATCTTCCTCCTGGATGCTTGGGCAGTTAGAGATGCTGCGGGATGGGGCGGGGCAGGGTGTTGAGCTGCTTGGCAGAAACTGGTACCTTGTGCTATCTAGGTGCTTATAGAAGCCAGAGGGCCTGTGGGAGGGTGGTGTTCCTTGAGCCACTAGCAAAAAGGCTTTTGCAGCCCCAGGTTGTCAACTGTCATTGTCCTTTCTGCCTTTGCCCCTGTAGCATGAACGCCTTCATCCTCCTGTTGTGCGAGGCGCCCTTCTGCTGCCAGTTCGTGGAGTTTGCAAATACAGTAGCTGAGAAGGTGGACCGGCTGCGCTCCTGGCAGAAAGCTGTTTTCTACTGCGGGTGAGGGCTGCTGGGCTGGCCCTATGGCGTGGTTCTTCAAACTCTTACTGGTTAAAGCAGGTATTGGTAGGGTGGGTGGGGTAGAGGCCTTTCTTTCCCGCAGAAGTTTTTGTTTGATAGCTGTGGACACAGCCACTGGCCCATCCAATATCAGCTGCTGAAGAATGGGACCCAGTATCTGCCTTCTGGAACTCAGATGGCAGCTATGGTCACACAAGCTCTGTAGCAGTACGTGTGTAGGAGAACAGGAAAGCAGCTGTTGTAGTCAGGTTGTAGTCAGAGTTGTCAGACAGGTTGTAGTACATCTGTGTGAGCATTGTGCAGCCTTGAAAGGAGTGTGGCCAACCTAGATGTCCAGACATGAGCTTGTAGAACAGAAAACACAAATTTCCTCTAAATACGCTTTTTCTCCTGGTTCTGACAAGTGCAGTGTGTCATAAGACTGCACCACTTCCGAGATAAATTGAATACACAGAAGCCTCTAGGTAGTGATATTTATCACAATTTATCTTTGAGATCAGGTTATATCAAAGCTTGGTAGAGGCTCAGTGGCTTCAGCAGTGAAAATATACAAGAGTGTGTCGTGTGCCCGCTGGCAGTTTTCTGATGTGTCTGACTCCAAAGGGAACACAGGATCACAAAGTTCTAATCAGTGTAGCATGGTTTGTGTGTATGCACGCACACATTCGTGAGCATGCATACCTGTATGTGGGTGCACATGAATGTGGAAGCCAGATTTGGACATAAGGTATTTTCCTCAGTTACTTTCCATTTGTCTTTATAGACAGGGTCTTTCACTGAACCTGGAGCTCATAAATTTGGCTAGACTGCCTGGCCAGTGAGCTCTAGGAATCCACCTGTCTCTACCTCACCAGCCCTGATGTACTTGGGTTTTTATGGGGATCCAAACACGTGCAGTAGGTACCTTACCATCTAAGCATGTCCTCATCCCTTCCTTTTTCCCCCTTTTGTATTTGAAATGGTCTCACTATGTAGACCTGACTGGCCTTGAACTCACAAAGATTCATCTGTCTCTGCCGCCTGAGTGCTGGGATTTAAGGCATGAGTCACCATACCTGGCTTTCTTTGAGTTTTTAAGATGTGTTGTCATGATGCTCACAGTAAAGTCATTTGTAAAGTAGAAAATGATCACTCCACACCTCACTACCTGTTAATTTTTTTGGCATGTGTCTCTCCAGTCTGAATCCAGACACTTTTGAAGCTCATCTTATCGATGCAGGCCAGAAGAGGGCACCAGATCTCACACTACAGATGGTTGTGTGAGCCACCATGTGGTTGCTGGGAATTGAACTTAGGACCTCTGGAAGAGCAGACAGTGCTCTTAACCACTGAGCCATCTCTCCAGCCCTGAAGCTCATCTTTAACATGCTTATAACTGCTGAACCTGTTTTTTTTGACTTGCTGTGGTAGCAACATTTTCAGTATTATCAAAAAGACTATGACATTCCTCTTAATTTTTTTTTAAAGAAAGAGTCTTTTTCTTTAATTTTTTTTAAGATTTATTTATTTATTTATTATGTATACAGTGTTCCTCCTGCATATATGATTGCAGGCCAGAAGAGGGCACTGGTTCTCATTACAGATGGTTGTGAGCCGTCATGTGGTTGCTGGGAATTGAACTTAGGACCACTGGAAGAGCAGCCAGTAATCTTAAGCACTGAGCCATTTCTCCAGTCCCATTCCTTTTAATGCTAAACACATTTATTCAGCTGGACATAACTGCCTTTGTCTTAATTTGTCAGCTCATGTCAATCAAGTCTGGTGAACATCTGTCTGCTAAAACTACCACGATGCCATTGCTAGGAGATGTTTCCAGGCGTGGAATTACCAGATCAAAGGTTAGGTCACTCAGAAGATCCTAACATACTTGGCTCAGTTTCCTTTCGGAGAGACCGTCTGGGTGTCATCCCGTCCCCACCCAGCGCCTCGTGATACTTTCACATGTATACCCATTGTCTGAGAAGTAAGACGCCCTCCTGAATATTCACATTCATTTTCTTTCTCAAAAGGTCTCTGGTTCTTGATCTGCTCTTTTGAGAGCTTTAATGTTTGACTTTGCAGGCTGTATGTTTTCACTATTAAAGAGCTCACATTCCTCTGCTGTTTCCCATTCTGTTTTTTCCAGCCTATTTGCCTTTAATGTTAATGATTTTCCTGCTGTGGTCTTTTCCCTCAAGATTTCTATTATTTTATTATAGAGAATCCTCAACGTAAGATGGGTTCCCATCTAGATAAAGCAGATACCCCATTGAGAACACAATAGCACACCTCCCCTACCAAACACAGCTATCGCCACCTTCACCAGGCTTAAATCCCCAATGCTGGGCCTGCAGAGCTTGGGACTCAGAACTCTCTAGTCAATGTCTGCAGAGTGCCACAACACAACCATTTAAGTCAAGGACCCTCCGCACTTTTGCTATAATGAAATCTACACCGGAAATCCAAGGAGTGCAGTTGGCTCTGAGTGTCGTCTTCCTGCTCTGGGCGCCTCCTCTCCAGAAGTGACTGAACTGAGAGCTGGGCTGCAGGCTCCAGAATCTTCCTAGTCAGCCTGTCTGGAAAGCCCACCTCTCAAGACCGAACTGCAGAGGGTCTTAGGTGGGAGGGCCACCACCAGGTGGCGCCAGCCTGCTACTGAAGCCCCAGCTCGAGCTGCACTGGCTTCAGTGTTGCCTTGGGTGTGATCTGGGTAGGGGTTGCTGTGCTGATGAGAGAGTTCATTCAGTGCTTGTGATGTGGGTGTGGGGTAAGTGGCCAGCAGTCCTCACCTTGGCATCAGGGTCTCAGGTTTGACCCCACTTCATAGTGGAGATGGAGCCTTGAGAGGCTAACTTGGTCACATGACTATATAGGTGGACTATACCCCCATCCTCTGGGCCCAGCCTCTCTGTTTTAATGACTAGTGGGGTCACATACCCAGCTCTTTGCTGTTTAACCCTTTGTGGGCCACAGATCTTGCCACAGAGACCTGACAATGGTTTTGAAATGTGTCTCCAGAAGGGATGTTTGAGGACCACACAGGGCCAGCACATGTGATGGGAGTGCACCCTTGACCTCTGTTCTCTCCTAGGATGGCCATCGTCCCCATCGTCATGAGCCTGACCCTGACCACACTGCTGGGCAACGCCATCGCCTTTGCCACTGGGGTGCTGTACGGACTATCTGCCCTGGGCAAAAAGTGCGTCTGCAGCCCAGCCCCAGGCTGGGGCCTCCTTTGCCGCCCCTGCTACCCCGTCTCAAGTGGGAAAGGTCTGAGTGGGACCCTTTGTCCAGTTATGCACAGTGGTCACAAGTGGCTTACCTGTGCTCTCAGAAACAGAGGCAAGAACTCGGGACAGCTTAGGTGGCCCCTCTTGGCTGGCTTGATACCATGAGGTATGCATCAAGGCATTGTAGCCAGCTGCCACCTTTCCCCTTCAGCTCAGTCAAGTTCAGTGCCAGGCAACATGTGCCCCGGTCAGAGTAACAAGGCCTCTGTCCCTTTGACAGTGGCCTCTGGGGAGCACAGTCCTGGAGGAATATTCCTGCAGGTCACATCTGGGTTGCAAACTGGGAGTTGGCGGTGGGGGGGCCGTGCCTATGGAACACCTACTTTTCTCTTCCTAGGGGTGATGCCATTTCTTACGCTCGGATCCAGCAGCAGAGGCAACAGGCAGACGAAGAGAAGCTGGCTGAGACTCTGGAGGGGGAGCTGTGAGGTGAGGCAGGGCGGCCTACCCTCATTGGATTCTACTGCCATTGGGTTCTGTGTGAAGTCTGGAGAAGGCTGAGCGTCAATTCTGCTAAATGGCCTGGAGAGGAGTCCCTGCAAGTCACCATGCCTCAAGTCTTCCTGTGTCCATCCTGTTCTCTGAACTACTGAGCTTGGAGCTCCTGCCCTACTGATACTGAAGACCTGGGCCATAGGCTATGGATGGGATCAACTCACTCCTGCTAGCCTGTGGAGCAGACTCCTGCGCTAGTTACCCGTCCCAGACCTAAGAGCAGCCACTCCTGAGCACACTGGTCCTCAACTGGTTAACAGGCTGATCACCCAGGCTCCGGCCACTTCAGGCTTCATCCTTTTTAGGTCCGAGCTTGCTGGCGGTTGAGGCTTCAGCTCTGCCCCACGCACCTGTACCCAGAGCAGAGGACGGGTACAGCGGTGTCCTGAGGCCAGCTGTCACTGCCAGGAGCAGGACAGATAGCTGGGCTTTGAGAATATATAGCACTCCCAGGATGCAGCTTCCTGGCCAGAAGAGCAGCCTTGGACAAGCTATTTCAGGACACCTTGCTGTTCCGTTTCCCATGGGTTCTGCCCCTCCGCCAGTTCAGGCTTCGGTGCTAGGAAGTGTGTGTGTGTGTGTGTGTGTGTGTATGGTGTGTGTTGGGAGTGTGTACTGCAGTGAGAACCTCTTTGTCAGTGACAGCAGGCTCACTATTAGTAGGGATTGACCTCAGGTATTTCTCCCAACTTGCCCCTGGCATTCTGTAGCCTTTGAAGAGCTGGGCAGAGACCAGAGCCACCTCTCACACAGAGCTGGCCCTGTCTCAGGTACCAGATCACGACAAGTAAGCTGCATGGCTAGGGTGTGGAGACCTCCTACCCTGGAACTGGCCCTCCTGGACATACCCTGGCTATCCCCCATCCTTCCTCTGTACTACTGTCTTTTCCTACTGTCCTGTGATATTGGCACTAGTGGCTGATTAGATGGGACCTTAGCCATTAGGCACGTGTTTGGTGGCCTGGCTAAGGATGATGTGGAAAATGCTAAGTCTTGCCTCCCTCCAGGTGCAAGACCTTCAGCTGGGCCTGCTCCATGGAAGCCAGCCCCAGAGTTGTTGAACTTCTAGGGGATCGTTAGCTCTGTAGTGTTTGGGGCCAGAAGTAGTGGGTATTCTATTGGGATAGAGGCTCTTTGATCTTTGGACTCTGGGGAAAGCAGATGTCACAGTGTAGCTGGTTTGGTGGGACATGTCTTCAGGGTTCACCTGAGGCTCTTTTTCTTAAGCCAGGAATGGGCTTCAAGGGCTTTGCATATGTATGAGTGTCCCAGGGCCTGTGTTCCCAGGAAGACCTGTCTACCTCCCAGGAGGAGCAAAGGCCCTACCTGCCCCTCTGGTTACATATAGAGGTATAAGATTCAGGTCTCTTCTGCCCAGGCCTTCTGCCCCCTAGCAGTGGAACTCACTGGCTGTATCTATAGTAAGATTGTACCCACTAGGGAAATCCATTTTGTACTGGACAGGCATGGGATGGGGTGTAAAGGTATAGGCCCTCAGACATAGACCACAGTGCGGCAGTCACTTACGTCCTGAGGTTCTTGGAAGCACAGCGGGTCTGGAGCCCATTGCCTTGCCTCTGAGCACGGGCACTGTGTAGCCCACACTAGGCCCCATTCTTGCCTGTGTCTGGCTGTTTCCTGTGGCTCCCTCTGCCACTCACCCCCTGGTCTGTTTGTTGCTTAGCTTACAGTGGAGTAAAGCAAGGCTGTAGTTGGAATGAATGCACAGTCTACCTGTCACCTTCTGTCTTCAGTGCCTGTGACTGGCAAGGAGACCCTGTCTGTGCCAGCTGGGCCCAGCCTGGCCTGGGCCTGCTCACAGGGTCTCAAAGAAAGTCGCCTATTCATAGAGGGTGAGCTGGCATTCAGCCCCATGGTGGTTGCTGCTTTCTCTGCACTATGATAACGTCCAGAGTGCCTGGCAGTCTGGGCTGAGTTGGAGGGTAACCTGGCTGCTGGGGAAGGAGCTTCTCCCTGGAATAGAGCCCACTCCCCTTTCCTCCCTGAGGCTGCAGGCCCAATTCCTTTATTTTGAAAAAACAGTGAACAGTTTGCAAACTAGAGGTAGCCCAAGATTGGAGTGGGTCCTATACTCTGGCCTTTGAAAGTCCAGTGTTCCCCAAGGTACCCAGGCCCTTGTGGGTACAGGACCTTGTCCTTCCCATGGCCAATTGATCAGAAGGGCATGATGTGATGGTGTCCCTGTACAGAGCCACTTTGCCACCTCCACCCCTGTTTTCTGTCTTCAGTATGGCCCTGTATGAGACGTGTCCCTTGTAGGAGTGAGGAACTAAGCCCCAGGTCCCCTGGCAGCCTTGTTCTTGGGCACAGCCTTTGCTCAGTCTGGGGCTGGGATGCCTGCTCCCCTGCAGGTCTCAGCTGAGGTATTACAGCACTGCAGGCTGCCTGAGCTGGGGCCTACCAGCCCACAGTTGGTGTACTGGTAGAAGTGTGTTCTGGCTTGTCCTGCATTCTGGCTGATGGCAGGGTTGTTGCTGCTCCTGGTTGCAGGTGCGAATCTGTGGGCCAGTGCATAGGCCTGACCTGGGTGGTCTGGCGCCTTACAGGCAAGCCCCTGACTAGGGCCGGAAGGACATCCTGCGGGTGTGGAAGAAGGCCTCGATCTGCTCCAGCGAGCGGCCCCTGGTCTCAGGCACACAGCAGCCTGTGAAGAGCAGACTGAGCAGGCAGATGGCCGAGAAGAAGAAGAAAGGCACCTGGAGGCCGAAGGCATTCTGCAGTGGGGAGTTGGGGAGGGCGTCACTGGACAGACTCAGCCCCCAGCCGGAATTCCATGGGCTCAGTCGGTCCTGGCAGCCTGTGGGGCATTCACCTGGCCACTGCTCTGCTCTGCAACCTCCCAGCTTTGTCTACTATTCATTCCCAAGCTGCCCCCCAGCCATCCTGCACGGAGACTCCACTCTCTTAGCTACCACACCCAAGCTCCAGGCTGCCTACAGGGCCTGGTGCACAGCATGTTCTGTCAACCCTCCTCCTAACCTCAATCGCCGAGTGCAGAGGGCAGGTTCTGGCTTGAGCTAACCCAGCTGGATTCCCCTGGTAGAGTCCGGAGCTGGCCAGCACTCAGGTGTTTTAAGGGCCTGCTGCCTTGCAGAGCTAGGAGCTAGGTATGTTTAGGAAGGACCTCACAGCATGCTATAGTCAGGTAGCAGAGTTACACTAGAGAAGCCTAGCATCCAGTAGGTCAAGAGACAGTGCAACTGGTCTGGGTTGTATCCTTGGGTTGGGAGGTAACCTGACTCCCCCAAGCAGCCCCCAGTGTTTCTCATAATGGCCTTGGCTGTGCTATCTTGGCCGTTCTTAGCCTGTAAAGGGCCTGTGCTCCTCTCTAGGAGTTGCAGAAGGGAGACTGCTAACGGAGAAACCCAGCCTTGAGTCCTAGGGCCGAACACTCACCACTACCAGCAGGAAGTACTTTGTGAGAATGAAGGCTGTAAGCCAGCTGACCAGCACGCAGAGCCCTGAGGCAGCACCGCGGGCACGCAGGGGCAGAACTTCAGACATGAGGAGCCAGGTGATGGGCCCCCAGCCCATGGCGTAGCCTGCCCAGAAAAGGGGAACAGCTGGGCTCAGGCCTGTGTCTCCTGGGTTGTAAGGAGGTCCTGTCCTCCAGCTCCCCGACCCCTTAGGCAAACCAGGACAGTGGTTCAGAACCCTTGCATCCCCCAGCAGCCCATGCCAGGTGTCCCCAGGGTGCTCCTACCCATAATGAAGAGCATGGTGGCCAGCAGGGGTATCAGAGTGAGGTAATCGAAGGACGTAGTTGAGGGCTGCTCTGTGTTCCCTGGGGTCATGAGCTCCAGTCCCACAGTGCTGTTGGGGGTCAGAGGCCTTGGGCCAAACTGGACGTACAGCCCCAGCGTCAGGTTGGCAACAAACATGACGGATGCTGTGAACACATGGGCGCCTCAGGACCAAGACACTTCCAGCTTGAGACCCTTTCCAAGCCCCACAACACCCCTTGCTGGCCTGTGAGAGGGACAACCTTCCCACCCCCAACACAGGATGGCAAGCTCAGGGTCTTGCCATACCCCTGAGCTAGGTGGGTGGGCTCCTTTGCTCTTGGAGCCCTAGCAGACCTGTCTGAGCAGCTGCCATTTGTCAGGTCCTGGACCATGTGCCAGGGAAGCTTGGGTGTGGCCCAAAGACTGCAGTCCACACAGTGGTTGTAAGTAAGATGCACCCATCAGAGTGGGGACACTCACCTGACACATAGAGCAGGACTTTACGGCCAGCCAGGTCCATGGTGACAGCAGCAATCAGCACAGACACCAGCCTCACAGCGCCCACTATGGCTGCATCCTGCTGAGAGGGCTGTGGGGCAGGGCATTGGGCTGAGAGTCCCGGCCCGGTGTTCCGTGTCCTACCCTGACCCTAATGCATTTTAGGGAACTCAGACCCAAGTCCAGGCTCACTGTCTTTCCACGAGCCATCACATGCACCTACAGAGCCCTAGGTACTTCCTCTGCACCCAGCCCTTACTGGGGGGTTTCCCAGCACAGGCACATCTGCCGTGTCTACTACCAATCATAGTGGGCACAGTGGGTAGCCTGAGTCAGCCTCATCTTTAAACCTCATTGCTGGGAGAACCTGGGGGTGGAGCTGGGCTCTTAAGGACCTCATGGGCCCCGCCTGGGATCTGAGCCTGGGGCCATGGTTCCCAATATTAAATTATTGTGTTATTCTGCATATTTTGAAACACTTAAGCCTCACTCGAGGAAAATGTAATTGAGGCAGGGTGCGACTCAGGAGTCCGGGTCTCAGCAACCTAACTCCCTGGCTGCTCTGCTTGTGTTCTCCCCAGCCATCTTGGGGGTGTCTTTCCGGGCGGTGCTGGCCGGGCGGGTTCTCACCAGCACCACGGACGTGCTGTCGAAGATGGTCTGCAGGTACACGAGGATGGGGGTGATGCCTGTCAGCTGCTGCAGGAAGCGCATCAGCACTGCGATGAGAACAGGCCGGTACACACGGGGGTCCCGGGCCTCCGCCCATGACACTCGGCTACTCTGCAACACAAAGCTTCCGCTGAGAGGCTATGCCAGGCTCTCCAGCCCTGGTCACCCTGTCTTGGCACCTGTGGGTCTAAGGGAGATCTCCTTCTCCCCCTCTTCCAAGAGAGAACCAGCCACCAGAGCCTGCCTGGGCTCTGCACGCTAGTCAGAACCATTCTTGTCTGAGGAAAGGCAGACAAGGCCCAGGGAGGCCCTAGTGAATGTCCAGGGCCACACAGAGCCTTGTGTGTTGGGACCTGAGCAGCCGGTCCCGCCCATGCTGCACCTGTCTCCGAACGTTGTCCTGGATCTGCTCAAACTCCCAGTGGACCTCAGAGTCAGCTCGAAGCCAGGTCAGCGCCTGCAGTGCCTCCTCATCCCGGCCCTTTGAGAGCAGGAAGCGAGGCGAGTTGGGCATGAAGCTAAGCAGCAGGACCATGATGAAGACAGGCCCCTCCCCAGCCACAGCAAGCCATCTCCAAGGCAGCAAAAGACCTGGCGAGAGAGGCTTTGGTGAAGGGCTGGGGCCTCTGAGTAACCACACCACCCTCCCAGCCCAGCCTCCCCTAGTTGCCCATGTTTCTCCAGTAGAGGCAATGAGGGCCTGCAGGGATTGCCTGGACCCTGGCACAAGAGTGAGATCCTTAAATACAATGGGAGAGAGTAGGGTAGGCTGGGCATAGGGCTCTCACCCCGTCATCCAGGCAGGCAAGCTCCTGTGTGGGCTTTCCCCACTAACTGACAGGATACTAGGCAACCTCAGTGCTGCGGGAAGGTGGTCTGAGGCTCCTGCTGCAGGGTAGGCCTCACTGCTCAGAGAAGTGGTACCCATGGGGCCTAGGAAGCCAGGTGTCCTTATCAGTTCTGGGCTCCTTCAGGGAGAGTGCCATTCCCCCCATTTTCGGAACCTTCACGCTGGATTACAGGATGGTACTTGCCAAGGGCATAGAGAGACAGGGATCCAAACACGGCCATGAGCTGCGGTGTGGCCCCCAGGGCCCCCCGAACACCAGGGGGTGCAATCTCAGACACATACACCTGCAAGACACATGCCCCCACTTGGGACTTTAGTGGGAATGCATGTTTCTGGGCCCACCTGGGTGAGAGAGGGGCCTGGGAGCTTGGAAAAGTTGGCAGACCATAGCTCTGACCTTCCCTAACAGAAAAGTATACAGAAGCACTCAGCTCTGATGGGTATGGGGTGGGATGGGCAGGGATACATACAGATGGACTATGATGCTGGGACCCAACCAAGCCCAGGGTATCCAGACCAGGTGCCCGTATTTCTCCTAGTGACCCCTTTTCCCTCTGGGTTTGGCCAGAGGACAAGTATTTGTATAGAGTAATGCATGAGGTAAGCAGTTGGGGCTGGGGCGGGGCTGGGCGGGGTGGGGGCAGGAACTTCCCTTCACATCCCTTGCTCAATACAGATTTTCTCCAGTTGAGCAACGCATCTAACTGAGGTTAAAACACCGGATAGGAAGCTTTTGGTGACAATGATGTCAGCTTCTTTGGTGGAGGGAGCTGAGGTTCCCTGGGCAATGTAGGGGATCTCTCCTGCTCTCACTGAGCAGAGCCTGAGGCAGGGGTGGCCCACAGCAGCCCTGAGGCGGTGGAGACACTTGGCCTTACCGGGATGCAGGCAGCAGTGAGTCCCCCAGCAAAGCCTGTCAGCATCCTCCCCAGCAGGAGCATCCAGAGACCACGGGC